GTTATGTAAAAGAGGTATAGAGAATGAAATCCACTCTGTCCTTACATGTCCTACTCTTGATAACCTGAGAATTCTTTATATGGCAAAAGTACTTAATTAAACAACAAGAAATTGCGTTCTCTTCTTCTTTGGTCTCTAGAAATGATAATGATATATGGACCTGTCATTCACAACTGCAACACCCATCATTTCGTCACCATGACGTCACTGACCTGTCGGGAGAGGTCAATGCCTAAAATACAGGCTTGTTTTCTTCTTCAAAGTACGTGAGATGTTAATTTGCAAATGTGATGTGTTTACAGATAAAGGCCTGTTGCTTGGTGCTCCGTCTGTGCACTCTGTGAGAAATGTTATGGAGCTCACAACTGAGCATCATTTCTGTCAAAGGTCAATGTGAAGGGAAAGCGGAGTCGCAAGGAGCACAAACTAGAATTTCTCTGTAGGGACTGCGAGAAGGCCGTGTGTCAGAAATGTTGCATACTTTACCACAGGAAATGTGCTGCCGTTGTCACGATCCCCTCACAGATGGTGACAATGAAAACAGAGCTGACAGAAATGAAGAAGTCATTAACAAAGAAGGAAGGTGAGGCGAAACTTCGTGTGAAGGAACAAAAGTTGCAGGAGCAGAGAGAGAGAGATCATTATTCACTGATGAAGTCACACATTCAGTCCGCATGCCAGAAAGTTATGGATCAGGCCAAGAAAAAAGAAAGGAAACTGCTCGATCGGATGGAAACTATTTCACATAAACACATCGGACAATTGAAAGCAGACATAAAGTCAGATGAGATGTCAGTACAGATGTACCAGCAACAAACGGAGCTGATAGACCAGGCTCTACAATCTGAGTGTGACATGGATGTGTATGAGATGTATCATGGATGTGAGGCTGGTTATGTGGAGGCTGTCGGAGACGCTGACCTGAAGGAGAGAGGAAGAATAGCCAGTGTCACATTCAGACAAGACACAGACAAGCTGAATAAAGCACTGGACGATCTACAGCTGGGTGAGATAGAGGTCCTGTATGAGAGTGTGCTGGACCTGAAGGCTACTCCTGTGTTACAAGACACCATTGACATCAAAGTAGCAGACGAGAGGAGTAAACTAAACCCCATAGACGTGACAGTGCTGGTGGTGAATGACATAGACACCGTTGTAGTCACAGACTGGGATAACAGCAGTGTGAAGTCCTTCTACGTCAAGAACAAACAGACACAGCACAGTAAACTCAGTATGGATGGTCCTCCATTGAGTCTGACCAAGTTGACATACAACCGGTTGGCTGTCACTGTCCCGAGCAGGAACAAGATTGTAATAGTTGAAGTGAACCCTGACCTGGTACTGCGGTCAACCATCACTACCAGCAAACAGTATGTGGGTATAACGTCCCTGCCTCCATCAACACTAGCAGTTGGTTCCCACTCCGCTCCCTGTGTTAATATCCTGGATATGACAGGAAACGTGCTGAGGTCTATCAGTCCACTCCACAAAGGTAACAGGATCTTACAGTATCCCGACTTCCTCAGTACCACGATGACAGGTAACATCTTGGTGTCTGACTGTGGAACTAACTGTGTCGTGTGTCTGACCCCCGAGGGAGATGTGGTATTCAGCTACAGCCCTACAGGAGACACAGCACTGAAGTGTCCTCAGGGTATCACAAGTACTGTCACAGGCGACATCCTGGTTACAGACTGCAGTCTACACAGAGTCATTCATCTGACTGAGTCAGGACAGTTTGTCAGAAACATACTGACAGAAGAGGGCGGTGTTACGTGTCCTGCGGGTGTCTGTGTAGACCCATATGGTTACATGTATGTTTGTCTCAGAACTGAGGGACCTATTAAGGTGTTCACGTGTAACCACAGTCAAGTCTATGTGTCTGACTTGGCATACATGTAATCACACTCTCAGCTTCCCATCAGGGAAGGATCTTTAAAAGCCGAGACAGTATGATGTTGAGTATACACAAGAAACCTTAAAGATGACAAGTTTTAATATTTTGGATACCTCAGGTATATGGATATCTCCAATACACGAGATATCAGCATATAATTGTATAAACGATATGTCTGACATATGTGTCCCTGACAGAAGATTAACCGAACTCCAACTCTTGCAGTAAACGTTAGACCCATGTATTACAGCACAACATGGTGAAACCGGTTGGCTCAAACATCGTTCATGTATATATTCTCCTTGTTCATAATGTTGTGTATCACCTGCTTGATAACGGTGTCAGCATCTACACCGAAATGCCGCATCCATTGCAATAGTCTTTTTTTAAAACATCTTACCTGTTCATCATACCAGCTTCTGTATGCCACTCGAGCAAATCAATTTTAAATGTTGTGAGTATTAATGTCACTTATGCTTATCTTCAACACTGATTTCAAGGCAACCCGTATTCTACTTTTTTATTACATACTCATGTAAACTTAAGATAGTAATACAGGGGTTCAATACGGATGAAGTAGTCAAATTCCCTATTGCACTCCAGATTCAGTATTGAAACCCTGCCAGTTCTAGTTTCTCCCAAGCTCGGCACTTTCCGGGATTTTCCGTACCCAGCTAACGAGAGGTGTGTCAATTGAATTTAATAATATGATTTTTAGGTTGTATATGATTAATTTAGAAACGTAAAACAATATCGTACTTGTTGGTTACATTAAAAGATTGAAAGAAAAAATGTGTTTGTCTTTTTTCACGTCACATACATCGCCTGCTTGTTGTCAAAATGTCGGCAACAATGACATCGATGGTACTATCCATCAAGACTTATTTGACATGTTATTGGACGAAAATTTTGGTACGTTTGAACTGGATGATTACTTTGGAATCATAACCAGTGCCTCTCGTAACAAAGAACATCAAAGGTTTCAAGGCATACATCGAGACCAAGAAAAGTGTCACCACGGTACAGAAAACAAACAGTCTTGTTTCTAAATGCAACCATTTTCTATTGGAAAACAATGTGAAACAGGACATGCTGACCCTTCCTCCCCAAGAACTTGATGTTCTTATTGGATCCTACATTTTTTCTCTAGAGAAGGACAATGGTGAACCTTACGAACCTGACACATTAACCTCCTACCATCGAGCCATTGATCGCCACCTTCCTGACAACGATGACCCATCTAACATTGTGCGAGATGCGGAATTCCTTGCCAGTAGAAAAGTTCTTGAAGCCAAAACGAAAATACTAAAACAAACAGGTAAGGGGAATCGGCCAAATATATCTGAGTCTCTGTCAGTGGAAGATGAGGAGCGGTTGAGGGAAAAGGGCGAACTTGGGAGTCATTCACCTCTGTCAATTTTTATGGTACTATTTTACTAAAATGTTTGGATTGCGTGGGCGGGTTGAAAGCAGAAAATGAAAATGAAGGGACGTTCAACTTAAAACAGATTCTGATGGCCAGGAGAATCTGGAGTTTTGGGTAAGGGGAGACTAAACAAGGGACGGAAATTCCACACACCATCGCATGTTCAATCCTAAAATATTCCCCGGAAATGAAACATGTATCCTCCCAGTGTACAAATCATTTGCCAAACAACGGCCAAAAAGGACGTTAGCTCCCAATGGACCATTTTACCTAGCGATCAATCACAAGAGAAAGTCTGATGGTCTATGGTTTCAACACACTCTGTGGACTCGATTCACGTTCCAATTCAGGGCAAAAAACTGTGAACAAATCACAACTTACAGTGCTCGAAAGTCCATGTATACACAGCTGCTTCATCCCGGTGTAGAACCGACGACAATATGTCAGTTGTCAGGGCACAAAACGGTGAACAGTCTCAATGACTATGCTGTTGCTTCCCCTTCCAATGCAGAAACACATGTCTGGTATCCTTACTGGTAGTAAAGAAAACTCTCTTGTTCCTGTTGACAATTCGTCTAAAGCTGTCTCTCACCAACAACGCGTGTCACTTCCAAAATGGTTTGAATGTAGGCCTAACAGCAGTCAGGTAAACCAAAACACTACTACACTCCACGGAATGACATCTGGATTATTCAGCAACAGTAACGTTTACGGTGACACCTTCAATATCAATTTTAACTTGTCATCTCAAACATACTGATTCATTTGGAACAGACCACATGCAAATTAGTGTGCGATGATATTCTAATACAAAGGACCCTTTTTTATATGCCCATTTTGAAATTAAACTTAGCTTCATAATAAACGATAGCTGACGTAAAAAATTATAACTTTGATATTGAAACTATTATGGATGTAGCTACCATGAAGTCTCACTATCATTATCAAAAGGAAAAGATAGGAGGGGTCTTCTCAAAAGCACAACCAGTATGGGTGTCGCAGACGGTGATTGGGATCGGGCTAGGGGATAGAGATATCAGCTAAGATATGATAATCCTTTAGGGGATTTAAGCTGGGAAAGTAAACGGCATGTCATAACAATTTACAAATAACATCCACTCCTGTCGATCTTCGGCTGGTCATGCCACCTATATATTTTGCGACAATTAATACGATGGCTGATTTAATTTTTTCTATGGGTATCATACACTTTTACACATCTCAACAAAACTTTATGAAAGAAAGACACGTAATCAATAGATGAAAAATATTCAACACACATGAAAAATATAAAATCTTCTTTGAGATGACCCCTTGTGCCTCTAGGCATCTTAGACACTAAATATGGAGATTAATTAAAACAACACCCGAGGCTGAGCGATTTAAATTGCCATCTTTAGTCTGATCTATTGTTTTCAGCAGCTGTTCCTATTTTTTCTAAGCTTTGACATGCGTTGACTATGCATCCCACTGAACGCCCTGTTAGGCCGATGTGGGTTATTTCCATTATGCTATTTGCAATTGTGTAAATGTTAGGGATATGGAGTAACAGCCTAAAAACAGTTGTTTTCTATTTCCGACAGTGCTTTAGGTTTGTCAGCGCCCAACCATTTTGCTGGTCCTTCCCCTTTGCTACGAAGTGTAGTGTCGCACAAGATCATCTTTACCTGTCATGACAGGTAATACTTTGTCGCGGGTGTACATTTACCCTCTACACCGCTGGTGACGCCCACACGGCAAGTGGCGGTTGTGAAGTGTGAAGGTGGACAGTGCGGTAAGTTGCTATACATCATAATGTATCAAATACTGGATGGTTGGTCCTGGTGTTGATGGAAACACAATCACACTGTTTCTGGTTATCTGATGTATCAAGTATTCAGTATATTTAAAACTATTTACGCCCTGTCCAAGGACTCAGTCCAAAGTCGAATATTGTTTGTTGTATTCCGTCAGATCTTGACGAGTATAGTGAGTCGATAATTAGGTGTAGTTTATGTCAACAATGATAATTAGGTGTAGTTTATGTCAACAATGATAATTAGGTGTAGTTTATGTCAACAGTGATAATTAGGTGTAGTTTATGCCAGCAGTGCGTGTGTATTAGTCTCCTGTCGTGGTCTACAGCCGCCACAATCTCCAGTGTGTTGCCTGTGCCCTACATACATCGTACATGTAGATAGTGTACACAACAAGGAAGTGCATGTTGTTTACTTTCGTTATGGTAATGAGCACACGTGATCAACACAGAATGACACAGGAGGTATTCAGTCAGCTGTTGTGCTCCACTGATACTTCAAGAAAATCATAATTATCATATTGACCATTTCACAAGGGGGAATTTTGCTATATATGGCTTTATTGTGTCATAGCAAGTAAACCAACTGTAAGAGCGCAGCGTGTATTCAGGATTTGTACCAATTTCTCGCCAGTTGTAACGGACACTCTTCTTGTGGGAAAATGGTCTTTTTCTGTTTTTACTGTTCCTCTATCAAGTATAACTATGTTATATTTAGGAACTATAATATTTAGGATAATATACTTGGTGTTGAAGAACAATCACCGCACCTTAGACGGCTGGGCAAACCGTGCCCCTTTTGCTGGGTCATTTAATTTGCATGTAAAGCGATCTTAGCGCTACAGCGGTCGTAACATCCTTGCTTCAGTATAGACATAAGATAGTCGTAGGGCTAAGATGGCTTCATGCATGTGGCCCCTTTAAGTCCCGGAGATATCACATGCTATGGCTGTCCATATCTAACGACTTCTAGGTCGATCAACACATGGCCGTGTGGGGCTGCAAATACTCTTTTACTCTTGATCTCATTATTAGATCTCAGAATTAGTCTGCCACAAAGTTGGATTGAACTTTTTGACCATTGATATTGGCTATTCACATCCATTGACAACACCCAACGATTCATTACACACAATATCCGTGACTGATTCGTGTGTGCATATCCTAATTCCACAGAACCAAAGATGGTTACATATACCATAGACACTATTGGAAGCGTTTATATATGCCATTAGCTTTAATTGCATACTTTACTATCTCACCAATCTGTAAAACGTGATATGTACACACTGCCGCATCAACATCACCTGAGGTACACTGAGACAGTGAGTTGAGTGAGTTAAACTTTACAGTCACCTGTCTGTACAGAGGTTCTGAATCACCTGCAGTTGGACAATGTTAGATAGATGTCAAGAGTGTAGACATTATTTACCTGGTTTCAGATGGCAACCTCTCAGAAGCTGACGGACCATTTCTTGTCCTGTACAATATGTACAGAGGTGTTTGACAAGCCATGTACACTTGTGTGTAATCACACCTTCTGTCGGAAATGTATCGTCAACTACACCAAAACCAGACCAGAAGCCATCAGTGCTAAGTCCCTCCTGTGTCCATTCTGCAGAAAGATGACGAAAGTGTCTGCCCCTGAGAGACCAGTGGAGGAGTGGGCGGATGACGTCAAACCTATCTTTCTCATCCAGGGACTCTTGGACTCGTTTGGCCCTGGATCCAAAGGTAGCTACAACTTTATACCCTCTACCAAACAGATATATGTATATTCCTGTTTGAGAAACAGTGAGATATAGCGATCACCATATCTGCCCGTCCGTTTCCATTTCAGGAGAAGAATTCCTAAATCGTTGGCCCAATGTGCAAAAGTAACCAAATAACATTTGCTGCAAATAAAACGAGTCTAGTGGTCTATGTCAGTAGGTTAGTGGCAGAACAATGTGCCACCCACCCCAGCATTGCCATTCACCTGTTCTACCCTACCCAACGCTCCCATTCAACTGTCCCATTCACGCCAGCAACAACATTCACCTGTCCAACCCACCCCGCAATAACATTCCCCTGTCCCATCCTGCCCAGCGCTCCCATTCACCTGTCCGACCCTGGCACTCCCGTTTACCTGTCTTATCCACCCTAGCAAAGCAATCGCCTATTCCACCCACCCCAGCACTCCCATCCACCTGTCCCATCCACCCCAGCATTCTCATTCACCTGTCCCATCCTGCCCAGCACTCCCATTCACCTGTCCGACCCTGGCACTCCCATTCCACTGTCCCACCCACCCCAACACTCACATTCCCCTGTCCCACCAACCCCAACACTCCCATCCACCTGTCCCACCCACCAAAACACACCCATCCACCTGTCCCACCCACCCCAGCAGCCCCATCCATTCACCTGTCCCACCCACCCCAGCACTCCCATTCACATGTCCCACCCACCCCGACTCTGCAATTCACCTGTCCCACTCACCCCAGCATCCTCATTCACCTGTCCCACTCACCCCGATTCTCCCAATCATCTGTCCCACCCACCCCAGCAGTCCCATTCACCTGTCCCTTCCATCCTAGCAGTCCCATGGATCGGTCTAATGCATCCAAGTAGTTCCATCCACCTGTCACACCCACCCTAGCAGCCCCATTCACCTGTCTTATCCACCCTAGCAATGCCATTGCCTGTCCGACTCCCCCCACCCCCCGCTATAACATTCACCTGTCACACCCACCCCAGCAGTCCCTTTCACCTATCCCATCCACCCCGACTCTCGCAATCACCTGTCCCACCCACCCCAACACTCCAATTTCCCTGTTACACCCACCCCAGCATTCCCATTCACCTGTCACACCCATCCCATCACTCCCATCCACCTGTCCCACCACCCCAGGAGTCTCATTCACCTGCCCAACCCACCCCGACCCTCCCATTTACCTGTACCGACCACCTCATCCCAGGAGTCCTGTTCTGTTCTGTTCTCTCCCGACCATCCCAGCTGACATGACTCCTTAACCATTGTACTGAGACTCCCATGTATAAAGCAACACCCACAGATGGACTACAGGTGTACCATATAAAGTGGCCAGCTTATGTGTCGTTGGGTGCTCAACAGAATTCAATGGGTGATCGTCTCAGAAATGTGTCATTTGGGTCTTACTGAATTGGTCAATGTTTGTTACTAGTGTTTCCTGTGCTATAAAGATACAATGAGAGATAAACATGTGTAAGTCTCTTAAGTAGGCGAGATGTTATTTTGCAAATGTGATGTGTTTACAGATACGACCAATTGTACCTACTGCCAAGAATATGGGGAGACAACTGTGGCTGTTGCTTGGTGCTCCGTCTGTGATGATGCACTCTGTGAGAAATGTACTGGAGCTCACAACCGCATCCCATCATTTCGTCACCATGACGTCACTGACCTGTCTGGAGAGGTCAAGGTCAAGGGAAAGCGAAAGGCCATGTGCAAGGAGCACAAACAGGAGTCGCTAGAATTTCTGTGTCAGGACTGCAAGAAGGCCGTGTGTCAGAAATGTTGCATACTTTACCACAGGAAATGTGATGCCGTTGTCACGATCCCCTCACAGATGGTGACAATGAAAACAGAGCTGACAGAAATGAAGAAGTCATTAACAAAGAAGGAAGGTGAGACAAAACTTCGTGTGAAGGAACAAAAGTTGCAGGAGCAGAGAGAGAGAGATCATTATTCACTGATGAAGTCACACATTCATTCCGCATGCCAGAAAGTTATAGATCGGGCCAAGAAAAAAGAAAGGAAGCTACTCGATCGGATGGAAAATATTTCACATAAACACATCGGACAATTGAAAGCAGACATAAAGACAGGTGAGATGTCGGTACTGATGTACCAACATCAGACGGAGCTGATAGACCAGGCTCTACAATCTGAGTGTGACATGGATGTGTATGAGATGTATCAGGGATGTGAGGCCGGTGATGTGGAGGCTGTCGGAGACACTGACCTGAAGGAGAGAGGAAGAATAGCCAGTGTCACATTCAGACAAGACAAGCTGAGTAAAGCACTGGACGATCTACAGCTGGGTGAGATAGAGGTCCTGTATGAGAGTGTGCTGGACCTGAAGGCTACTCCTGTGTTACGAGACACCATTGAAATCACAGTAGAAGACGATAGGAGTAACCCAAACCCCATAAACGTGACAGTGCTGGTGGTGAATGACACAGACACCGTTGTAGTCACAGATTACAGAAACACCAGTGTGAAGGCCTTCTACGTCAAGAACAACCAGACACAGCACAGTAAACTCAGTCTGAGTGGTGACCCATGGAGTCTGACCAAGTTGACACACGATCAGGTAGCTGTCACTGTGCCAGCAACCAAACAGATTGTAACAATAAAAGTCAAACCAGACCTGGAGTTACTGACAACCATGAGGACCAGCAGACAGTATTGGGGTATAACGTCCCTGACACCATCAACACTAGCAGCTAGTTCCCACTCTCCTCCCTGTGTTGACATCCTGGATATGACAGGAAACGTGTTGAGGTCTATCAGTCCACGCCACAAAGGTAACAACATCTTACAGTGTCCCGACTTCCTCAGTACGACGAGGACAGGTAACATCCTGGTGTCTGACTATGGAACCAAGTGTGTCGTGTGTCTGACCCCCGAGGGAGATGTGGTGTTCAGCTACAGACCTACAGGAGACACAGCACTGGAGTGTCCTCATGGTATCACAAGTACCGACACAGGCGACATCCTGGTTACAGACCACAGTCTATACAGAGTCATCCATCTGACTGAGTCAGGACAGTTTGTAAGAAACATACTGACGGAAGAGAGCGGTATTAACCATCCTGTGGATGTCTGTGTAGACCCATATGGTTACATGTATGTTTGTCTCAGCACTGAAGGAGTTATTAAGGTGTTCACATGACTTGCATGTCTGACGTGACGTAGGAGTATTCACACTCTCAGCTTCCTCATGTCATCAGGGAAGGATCTTTAAAAGCCGAGGCAGTATGATGTGGAGCATAGACAAGAAATCTTAAAGGTTATATTTTGAATACCTCAGGTATATGTATGTCTCCAATACATGAGATATCATCACTTAATTGAATAACCAATATGTGTGACACATGTTTCACAGCCATTAGATAAACAGAATATTATGTCTTGCAGCACACGATAGATCAATGTACTATAGCACTATCAACAAAGTGAAACCGGTTGGCTCAAACATCTTTCATGTATATATTCTCCTTGTTGATAATGTTGTTTATCACTTGCTTGATAACGGTGTCAGCATCTACACCAAAACGTGGCAACCATTACAACAAACAAGTAGTCTTTCTTTAAACAATCGCCCTTTTCATCATTCCAATTTCTATATGCCACTTAAGGAAATCAATAAAATCAATTTAAAATAATGTGAGTATTTATGTGACTTATGCTTCTCTTCGACACTGATTTCAAGTCAATCAACACGTATTCCAAGTTTGTATTAAGAACGAACTAATTATGGCCATGTATTAAGTGAATTAGAGTCTGTCAGTAACCCAGTGGTAAAGTATTCAGTCGTTACGCTGAAGACCTGGATTCAAGATTCATTAGCCAACCAACTCAAGAGAGAGAATCAGTTTTCGAAAATAATTTCATTCCAAATCTGTGAAACCTGGGTTGAAAGCTTAATAAACTAATTAATTGTTAACGTGTTCAAATTGCACTCTGGCTCAGAGTTCAGCTGTGGAATTGTAAGCATCATAAACTAATTATTTCTAAAAGCCTTAATGTGTACAGCATTGTAGTCTGGGTGTCCACTACTGTAATTGTTGAGACCCAGCGTGTCAAGTCTGAACCAAGTACAACGACCACATTCTTAAGCCCCAATGACTCAGGGTTCAACTATGGGAGTGTTACTATGGGAGTGTTACCCATTACCAGGAACCTTTGATCGCCACGTACAAATAGCTATGTAAGTTTGGACGCATATTTCAACTTAAACATCCTGTTATAAAATTTCAACACAGACAAACTGCAGACGTAAAACTGAATTGTAAGTAGACAGTCCTAAAACAGTAGGCCTCTGTGCATTAAGATGACAGGTACTTACACAATACACAGTTGAGACAATGTTCCCCAACAATGACACAAAACACAGAAGGAAACATGACATGTCATTGTTTAAACCTCAGACAATGTTCCCTAACAATGACATAAAACACAGAGGAAACATGAAATGTGATTGTTTAATGCTCAGACAATGTTCCCTAACAATGACATAAAACACAGAAGGAAACATGACATGTCATTGTTTAATGCTCAGACAATGTTCCCCAACAATGACATAAAACACAGAAGGCAACATGACATGTCATTGTTTAAAGCTCAGACAATGTTCCCCAAACAATGACATAAAACACAGAAGGAAACATGAAATGTCCTTGTTTAATGCTCAGACAATGTTCCCTAACAATGACATAAAACACAGAAGGAAACATGACATGTCATTGTTTAAAGCTCAGACAATGTTCCCTAACAATGACATAAAACACCGAAGGAAACATGACATGTCATTGTTTAAAGCTCAGACAATGTTCCCCCAACAATGACATAGAACACCGAAGAAAACATGACATGTCATTGTTTAAAGCTCAGACAATGTTCCCCAACAATGACATAAAACACAGAGTGAGTGAGTGAGTTTGGTTTTACACTGCTTTTAGCAATATTCCAGCAATATCACGGCGGGGCATAAAACACAGAAGGAAACATGACATGTCATTGTTTAATGCTCAGACAATGTTCCCTAACAATGACATAAAACACAGAAGGAAACATGACATGTCATTGTTTAATGCTCAGACAATGTTCCCTAACAATGACATAAAACACAGAAGGAAACATGACATGTGATTGTTTAATGCTCAGACAATGTTCCCTAACAATGACATAAAACACAGAAGGAAACATGACATGTGATTGTTTAATGCTCAGACAATGTTTCCCAACAATGACATAAAACACAGAAGGAAACATGAAATGTGATTGTTTAATGCTCAGACAATGTTTCCCAACAATGACATAAAACACAGAAGGAAACATGAAATGTGATTGTTTAATGCTCAGACAATGTTCCCTAACAATGACATAAAACACAGAAGGAAACATGACATGTCATTGTTTAATGCTCAGACAATGTTCCCTAACAATGACATAAAACACAGAAGGAAACATGACATGTCATTGTTTAAAGCTCAGACAATGTTCCCCAACAATGACATAAAACACAGAGTGAGTGAGTGAGTTTGGTTTTACACTGCTTTTAGCAATATTCCAGCAATATCACGGCGGGGCATAAAACACAGAAGGAAACATGACATGTCATTGTTTAATGCTCAGACAATGTTCCCTAACAATGACATAAAACACAGAAGGAAACATGACATGTCATTGTTTAATGCTCAGACAATGTTCCCTAACAATGACATAAAACACAGAAGGAAACATGACATGTGATTGTTTAATGCTCAGACAATGTTTCCCAACAATGACATAAAACACAGAAGGAAACATGAAATGTGATTGTTTAATGCTCAGACAATGTTCCCTAACAATGACATAAAACACAGAAGGAAACATGACATGTCATTGTTTAATGCTCAGACAATGTTCCCTAACAATGACATAAAACACAGAAGGAAACATGACATGTCATTTTTAAAGCTCAGACAATGTTCCCTAACAATGACATAAAACACAGAAGGAAACATGAAATGTGATTGTTTAATGCTCAGACAATGTTCCCTAACAATGACATAAAACACAGAAGGAAACATGACATGTCATTGTTTAAGGCTCAGTCAATGTACCCCCCAAAAAGACATTAAAACAGATGTGCCAAGACATGTAGTTTTCACGAGTTAAGAGGCGTCGTGTTACAGAAAATCATACAAATCCTTTATTCAAACTGGGGGTGACGTCAACAGTTATTAGTGTGACCCAGTTATTGGAGACCGGATACTGATCACGGTGCCAGTGCTGACTTCCTTTGGAGCTGTCCAAGTCCAGGTATGCAGAAGTCCAGCACTATTAAAGACCCTCTTCTTACATTCACTGGGAAGAAAATGTTGTATTTGAATTTGTCATGCAACAAGAGTACTTGACACAATACAGTGGCTATAAACACCCTGCACACCAGGGTGGTTCTAAGGCGAGCAGTATAGACAGGTCATGCAAATAAGGTCAATGGGTGACATTTCTCAAGGCTACTGGGTCTGTGACGTAGACAGTCCACAAAATGTACAGAACAATGACATATACAGTGCCACAGGTGTGTACCACACTGGGATATATAGTCAACACCTTACAATGTTTACAAGCATTATAATTTGAGCAGAGATGTGTCAGTAATGGTCTTCAGATGTCAAACTACCCATAATCAAAACATCAGACTGAAACCCCTTGACATCATTTTCATAGGTCACCTTGTTTCAGCTTCTTTGTCAAAAGCTTCTGAGGACATGATGTCAAAAATGAGAGAAAAATATTTTTAATGAATATAACAGCATGGTCAAAGTGCAAAAGTCAATGTGCAAGAATCCTATTACTTCTTAAATATGAACGCTAGACACTTCATAAAGGCAATACTTGGATCCAACACAGTCAACTAATTGCATTGCTAGTACACATAAAGACCAAAGAATATGAGGCACAGCCGTGCAAATTGCATTCCTTAGCAGTGCCACACTTATACGGTCATCACTTGTAGACAGGATCCACTACCCCTTTCTTTATACCACAGGCATCACTTCAAACCAGGTTAGGCTATCCCATCTCCCTCAGGCATCACTTCAAACCAGGTTAAGCTATCCCATCTCCCGCAGGCATCACTTCAAACCAGGTTAAGCTATCCCATCTCCCGCAGGCATCACTTCAAACCGGGTTAGGCTAGCTCATCTCCCGCAGGCATCACTTCCAACCCGGTTAGGGTATCCCATCTCCCACAGGCATCACTTCAAACCAGGTTAGGGTATCCCATCTCCCGCAGGCATCACTTCAGACCAGGGTAAGCTATCCCATTTCCCGCAGGCATCACTTCAGACTAAGTTAGGCTATCCCATCTCCCGCAGGCTTCGCTTCAGACCAGGTTAGGCTATCCCATTTCCCGCAAGCATCACTTCAGACTAAGTTAGGCTATTCCATCTCCCGCAGGCATCGCTTCAGACCAGCTTAGGCCATCCCATCTCCCGCAGGCATCACTTCAGACCAGGTTAAGCTATCCCATCTCCCGCAGGCATCACTTCAAACAAGGTTAGGCTATCCCATCTCCCGTAGGCATTGCTTCAGACTAAGTTAGGTTATCCCATCTCCCGCAGGCATTACTTCAGACTAAGTTAGGCTATCCCATCTCCCGCAGGCATCACATCAGAACAGGATCCTGTTACGTCATGTACCACAGACTTCAGATCTGGTCAGGATCCACTACCCCACATCTGGTCCGGGATCCACTACCCACAGCCACATCTACCCCAGGACGAGGGATCCAGAGACATTAGATCTGGTCAGGATCCTCTACCCCACATACATCTACCCCAGGACGAGGGATCCAGAGACATTAGATCTGGTCAGGATCCTCTACCCACATACATCTACCCCAGGACGAGGGATCCAGAGACATTAGATCTGGTCAGGATCCTCTACCCCACATACATCTACCCCAGGACGAGGGATCCAGAGACATTAGATCTGGTCAGGATCCTCTACCCCACATACATCTACCCCAGGACGAGGGATCCAGAGACATTAGATCTGGTCAGGATCCTCTACCCCACATACATCTACCCCAGGACGAGGGATCCAGAGACATTAGATCTGGTCAGGATCCTCTACCCCACATACATCTACCCCAGGACGAGGGATCCAGAACGGGGCGTAGGGGTGCAAAACCTGGGTGAAAATGAAGTGTGTACCCCTCCTTTTCTCAATAGTGTGCAAACACTCACACCCCCACCCCCATCCCCCACTCTCAAAAAGCTGTATCCGCCCCTGAACATACTGAAATCTTCAAAGTGTCAGTGGGCCCTACGCCTTCCCTAGATGAAGCTTGGTGTCAAATATGAAGATAATCCAGTGAACGTCTCTTGAGATATCTTGCCGACAAAGGTAAAACGTTAAAGTCCCCTTGTGACCTTGAAATGACATTGTGACCGCTAAACGCGCAGCGGGGTATAGCAATGAGGAAAAGTGTTATGTGGCGGTGATATATGTTGTGTAACGCGGCACAGAACAGTATCGAAATATCTGGCACGTTAGGGGAGCTAACTCTTGCTTCAAGCCTCACATTACATCTCAAGCCACAAGAAGACCATCATTGTGTGTGATGATCTTTACACCCTGGATCCTATCTGGCTAGTCCTTGCTATCAAGTTGGATGAATGTTACTGAGAGGTGAATAGTACCATCATTGTCTTTATTGCTGGGGGGGGGGCGGTGGGGTAGCCTCGTGGTTAAGGCCTTTGCTCGACAAACTTCCCGGTTTAATTCCCCACATGGGTACAATGTGCGAAGCCCATTTCTAGTGTCCCCTGCCGTGATATTGCAGGAATATTGCTAAAAGCAGCACTTTGTTGCTTGCATTTCAGTTTACCTTTCAATTTGTACTGATTCTACTTTGTTTATTTTAGAATACAATTGTTCAAGGTCACATGCAACCAAAAAATCAAACATAATTAAAACACAATTATCACTTCTTCATGACATATAATATGCAATGCTGATTATGAAAAAACAAATAAACAAAATTATAAGCGTATAATCGCAAATCAAAAGTGCAATATTTTGTACTTGGGTTTACCTCCCTCGAAACGAAGCAGTCGAGATACCGAACCCAGTCAGAGCGGGTGGGTGTGCACTCAAGTGTAACGGCTGGTTCATTAGCAGATGCCGCATTCACGGCTCATGGTGTGTGTATATATAGAGCTGTTGGGTTTTGTAAATACATGCTCATTTTTTGTGTATAACATTTTGCAATCAACAGACATCATAACATGTCATGTGTTCAAGTATCACACCTGCCTGTCTGTGTAATAACATAATGTGACAGAGGCCGAACTCGGGCCATAAATCAATGCGTTTTGTTTATGGTGTATAGCCTGATTGGTGTTAAGTTCAAATTGCATGTGGTCAGTGATCGCAGTTGTGTATTGAATATTGTCATTAGCAGACAGGCAGGCAGACACACAGGTGTCAATAAAACAAGACATTGAGTTTTGTCTGTGACAACGACATATCTATATCACAGTTAGAAATTCTGTCAACGCTAAATAATGACATTGCTTTTAAGTATCGAACTGAGAAAGTAACTCGGTAAGAACGTGTGGTGAAATAGACAAATGAAATTATATAAACAGTTTATTTACTGTCATAACATATAAAAAGCTCGCGCCTGTCAGATATCAACAAAACATTAGAAAAATAGCTCACACCAAAGCCTTCGCCGAGTATTCACCCGACAAGCCGCTTCCAAGCTGCGCGAACCTATTTACTTGCGCACGTGCTATGAGCGCAGCCCGACTGTTGAAACCCGTATTCCCCAGAAAAGTCTGGGGAAAATTAGTGAAACGTTTGAACTCCGATTTCGCGCGGTTTTTTTCATCGTGTTATATTTCAACTTTAAAAGATGAATTTGCATTTTTGACGATTTGTTTCGCTATGTCCATACCGAAAGGTATCAGAATCTGCAAAGTTGTGTTTTACCTTGCATGTGACCTTTAAATACATCACATTTCTTTGTTGTGTGTATCTCAGAGTATCTTTACAGCCTGATAGTCAGCTAACTTTGTACTTTCAACTTGGGAATGAGACAGACAAAGGTATATTCAGTAGTATTTGGGCCATAAGGTCTAGGATACAGTTGGCAAATACAATATAAATTACACGTGATCGTGAACATTTGAATTTCATATAGATCTTATTTTAAATATCTCATTGAGTTATATAGCTATTAGGTGCTGTACATGACTGTTTTGTGACATGAAAATAGCCTCAACGGTTAATGGGCCTCTGGAGACTGGTTGTAGCTTCTGTAGATATCTGGCTCTGGAGACTGGTTGTAGCTTCTGTAGATATCTGGCTCTGGAGACTGATTGTAGCTTCTGTAGATATCACTGGACAGCTCTGCCCGGAGACTGGTTGTAGCTTCTGTAGATATCTGGCTCTGGAGACTGGTTGTAGCTTCTGTAGATATCTGGCTCTGGAGACTGGTTGTAGCTTCTGTAGATATCTGGCTCTGGAGACTGGTTGTAGCTTCTGTAGATATATGGCTCTAATTCGGACTTCACTGTCCTTGTCACAAACAAAAAATACGCGGTTCTCGTCTTCATTAAGGTTATAATGACAAAGTTCACATATGGGGAAATATACCCGGATGGTAGCCGTTGCATCTTTACTTTACTTTACCGTTTATCTTGAAGTTAGTTAGCGATGTTCTAAACTTGAAGTAAACTCTTATTAGCTGTTTGTTCCTGATGTTCGTGATATATGATTCACTTTCCAGTGAAAACTTGAATGAAATGTAATGGGTAAGAAAACTGGAACTGTGTATCTCATGATGCCAGTTTGGGAGTGATATATCTTTGAGGCGCTTTTTAAAAAACTTGATAAGAATTGTCTGCATCTCCGACATCCTGGGCGATCTATACATGAGAGAATCCTAGGTTGAACGATGTTTCTCGAATATCAGAAGTCCAGTTCCTCTTTCCTACACCATCGAGTGATTAAAGCATTTGGTAAGCGATCGGTTGTCATTCGTAGAACCTTTATCCAGTACTTGATGGCCTTTGCTTGTGTTGATATAAAAATCAAATGTCTTCCAGTGTCACCTAGAATTGACATGTTTCCAATAGAATTTTCCAACTTTGAGAAGGTGTTTAAAGTTGTTTGTCTGAATCTTTAGGGGGAACTTGTGAATCAACACATAACAATATCATGACTGTGTTCTCATTTCCCTCACATAACTCTCTTATATCAGTGAAAGTGGATTAAATCAGACAGCCATTTTGTCAATGTAAAATTGCATTTGGGGTTTTGTGTACCTTTATCCAGCATTTCATTTACATTACTTCCGGGTGCTTTCCTTGAAGTGACTCACTGAATATGATACTTGTGTACAGATCTCAATTCTAATATATGACCAGTCAACGCAAGACACAGTGAGTGAGTGAGTGAGTGAGGACAGGACACAACTCGCAGCAAGTGACCTGTGACCCTTGAACCATCTGACGAGTGAGTGTGTGGATGCGTGAGTGAGTGAGTAGCTTTTAATTCTGCATTTGAACAGTACTCCAGTTATATCATGGTGTGTCAGCTGAACATAGGATCAAACCCAAAAGTGATGAAAGTCTCAGAAATTTACAACTTTTGTGAAACCCATGAGTATGTGTATTGTGCTGATAAACATAATTAGGGATTCAAACCCACCATCACAGGTTCCTGGCATGCCCAAGGGAGGCAACTCCACACAGCAAATTACAAAGATCTTTCTTATGAAATATGTGTGTCATTCACTAAATTTCATGTGTAACACACTGAAGAAATATCTTTTTAAATTGTCTCAAATTCTTTGCTTTTATTTAACAATTCCAATCTACATTAAAATATGAATTCATAAAATCTGGCTTCATTTGAAAATTGATAACTCTTTGACTTTGTTTCCAGAAAGAAAAATAGGACATCTAATCAGTTACAAAGCAACTGATATACATGAAACCAGGTAAAATATATGTGTTGCCTCAACTATATACAGTCAAGACACCTGTAGTTGTAGTTCAACATTGTAAAATAATGTCCATGAAGGATGTGAACTGAAGGTTGAAAAGTACCACTTTCATGAAGTATTACACTTTATAGAACAATCTTTAGGATGGACAACTCCTTTTTATTTATGACAAGCTTCGACACAGATTCTTGTACCATTGTCAAGCAGGAATTGACAACAGTACCAGAATCTATCGAAACGTCAGAGACTCACAAATAAAAAGAAGTTGTTATCCATAAAGTTTGTTCTATATTGTACTTCCCAACTTCTAAAATGCCACTCACAAAAAGGCATAACACTTTTACACAAAGGCAATGTCAGCTGAACTTAAAAGTATACTATCACAATTCTATAGGAATCACTAACATACAGCCAACAAAAACATCAACATTAGGCGGTACTTGCTGCTCAGTTGTAACAACGTCCAAAACAAAGTCAATAAAAGAAGTTATTCTGATAACAAGCAATCAGTTATGTACACATTAAAAGAATACCAGTACAGCTGCACCTAAAAAGCCTACTTCCTTCATCCCATGTGACATTAATTAAAACATACTTACTTATTGTTATAAACATTAAATGGTACATTTCATACTTTGTGCCACCATATCAAATAAAACACATGCTCAGATCATTCACAACAGAAATGTGTCAAAAGTTTTCACATCATTTCCAAATCCGAATGTATTAGCTTTGAACTGTAGATGTATATTTCAAATGAAAATAGATGGGAACCATTCAGTGACAGCAGAAGAAAATGGAATAAATGTCACGAAATAAAGAAATGATTAGCTAACTTATGACACATCCATGCATTATTTACAAATGTTCTATAACATATCACATGCTCCAGTGGTCAATGAAGCCTTAACACTGATAGCTCTTAAAAGATACTCTTCAGATAAATCCTGTACAATAGCTCTCATCCCGGACTCAGTGGCATCTTGTAGAGTGACGTCACCTTTTCTTGTTGGTCCGAGGTCCTTTCTTATCCCCCTGTAAACCAAAGAATGGATCCACATAAAGCTGATGTTTACATGTAGCATCCTCTGTAGTCGATTCATAGACTTCCACTGATGTCATACCATTGTTCTATAACGATATTAAACCTTTGAGCAAGAACTTGACTCAAATGGGTTGAAAGCCGGAAGTCGGACATTCTATTAAGGTTTGCTCCACCTAAAATAAGATCCCTCACCCTAACTACCCACCCTGCCCCCCTTCTCCCTGTATCCCCCTATATACCCACTCTCTCCTCTACATGCCCATCACCCCATCTATATACCCACCCCCTCCCTACATGCCCATCCCTCCCTGCAGACTTTACATGCCCATCACCCCCTATATACCCATCCCTCCCCCTACATGCCCATCACTCCCCCTATATACCCTCCCTCCCCTACATACCCATCCCTCCCCCACATGCCCATCCCTCCTCTACATGCCCATCCCTCCCTACATGCCCATCCCTCCCTACATACCCACCCTCCCCCTTGCATACCCATCCCTCCCCTGCATACCCACCTCCTCCTCTACATACCCATCCCTCCCCCTACATACCCACCCCTCCCCTTCTCTCTCTCAGATCCCCTACATACCCACCTCCCTCCCCTACATACTCATCCCCTCCCTACATACCCACCTCTCCCCTGCATACCCACCTTTCCCTGTGTCCCCTGCATACCCACCCTTCCCAATGCATACCCCCCCTTCTCCTACATACCCACCTCCTTCCCCTACATACCCACCCATACCTTCCCCATGCATACACATCCTTCCTTCTCTATATACCTATCCATCCACCTTTCAACCAGCATACCCACAATTTACGCTTGCATACCTCAACAACTCCCCCTTCACCCCACATGCCATATCGCCCCTTCACCCTACATACCCACCGCTTCCCCTTCACCCTACATACCCACCCGCCTCCTTTCACCCTACATACCCCTCTTCCCCTTCACCCTACATATACCCACCCTCCCTTCACCCTACATGCCCCCACCCTTCCCCTACCCATACCTACCTCTTCATTCACACCCACCCTCCCCTCCCTTCACCCTACATACCCACCCCACCCTCCTTCACCCTACATACCCACCCCTCCCTTCATACTCCCCTGTCACCCACCCCCTCCCCATTCACCCTACATACCCACTTCCCCTTCACCCTACATACCCACCTCTCCCTCCCTTACCCACCCTGCATACCCACCCCTCCCCTTCTCACCCTACATACCCACCTCCCCCTTTCCCCTTCACCCTGCATACCCACCCCTCCTTCACATCACCCTACATACCCACCCCCTCTCCCCTTTCACCCTCCTACATACTCCACCTTCTCCCCCTTCACCACCCTACATACCCACCTCGCCCTCCTCAATCCCTACATACCCATCGCCCTCCCTTCACCTCCTGCATACCCACCCTCCCCCTCTTCAATCTCTACATACCCACACCCACCATCCCTTCACCCTACATACCCACCGCCTCCCCCTTCAATTCCTACATACCCACCCTCCACTTCACCCTACATATACCCACCCTCCCCTTCATCTTACATACCCACCCTCCCTTCAATTCTACCCATACCCTTCCCCTCAACTGCCCCAAACACCACCCACCTTCTTTTTGATGTAGCCATGCTGATGCAAGATTTCCCGTGAGAGGTTGTTGATGTGTTTGAATCTGTCGGGGCCAAGATGGATGCCACCATACCAGCGAGTCACCACCACCATCACATTCTCCGCATTCAGGATCTGTAGGAAGAGGAGTCACTATTCACATGAACAGTCCTACACATGACAACCATCACCCACAAGACACATGACGACCATCACCCACGAGACAATAGCAGTCCTACACATGACAACCATCAGCCACAAGACAATAGCAGTCCTACACATGACAACCATCAGCCAGAAGACAATAGCAGTCCTACACATAACGACCATCAGCCACAAGACAATAGCAGTCCTACACATAACGACCATCAGCCACAAGACAATAGCAGTCCTACACATGACAACCATCAGTCACGAGACAATAGCAGTCCTACATAGGACAACCATCACCCACAAGACAATAGCAGTCCTACACATGACAACCATCAGCCAGAAGACAATAGCAGTCCTACACATGACAACCATCACCCACAAGACAATAGCAGTCCTACATAGGACAACCATCACCCACAAGACAATAGCAGTCCTACACATGACAACCATCAGCCAGAAGACAATAGCAGTCCTACACATAACGACCATCAGCCACAAGACAATAGCAGTCCTACACATGACAACCATCAGTCACGAGACAATAGCAGTCCTACATAGGACAACCATCACCCACAAGACAATAGCAGTCCTACACAGGACAACCATCAGCCAGAAGACAATAGCAGTCCTACACATGACAACCATCACCCACAAGACAATAGCAGTCCTACATAGGACAACCATCAGCCACAAGACAATAGCAGTCCTACACATGACAATCATCACCAACAAGACAATAACAGTCCTACACATGACAAACGTCACCCACAAGACAATAGCCATCAGCCACAAGACAATAGCAGTCCTACACAGGACAACCATCACCCACAAGACAATAGCAGTCCTACACATGACAATCATCACCAACAAGACAATAACAATTCATACACATGACAACCGTCACCCACAAGACAATAGCAGTCCTACACATGACAACCATCAGCCACAAGACAATAGCAGTCCTACACATGACAACCATCACCCACAAGACAATAGCAGTCCTATATAGGACAACCATCAGCCACAAGACAATAGCAGTCCTACACATGACAACCATCACCCACAAGACAATAGCAGTCCTACACATGACAACCATCAGCCACAAGACAAAACAGTCCAACACAGGACAACCATCAGCCACAAGACAATAGCAGTCCAACACATTACTATTTTCATTTGAGAGATTGACAGACATTCACTTTGCTCACCAAACTGTTGTACTACAGATACGTACCCCAGGTATGTTTCTGTATACAGATATGTACCCTAAACAAAGTCAAAATACAGAAACGTAGCCGGTACCCTAAAAGGCGGACGAGTCCATATTCCGCAATCCAAACCCGAAACTGTATGTAGTTGTTCCTGTCCAACTGATTGGGAGTGGTATTCATATGCATCGTGAAATATCCGTTAGTGTGTATTCTCATTACTTCCATAACACAATCAAATGTAACTAATACAACAACATGACCGTTCCGATCAAGAATGGAAATGGAATCGTCCTAGGGTACATTTCTGTATTCTCATTATGGCAACGGTACATATCTGTAGTACCCGTGCCGACAACGGCAGGATCTGGCCTTAATGACCTAGATAGGCCCGCCAGATCCTGCCTCATCAATGTTATGTCATAGACACAGTATGTTCTAAGTTGAAACAGCATCCTGAGTGGTACGTGTGGTATTCCACCGTAGGTTTAACATCATGAGGGGTGCATAAAATCACATATAACAGATACTGTTCCAAAAAATTTTATCTTCCCAACATGCCATGTAAAAGAATTATAAAATAGTGAAAGTTGACAGAAAACAGCTGTTCCATTTAGCTGAGGTGCTGCTGTGTCACGTGACTGTAACGGACTCATGAACTTCTTAATGGAGTATAAAGGGTTAACTCTCCCCACAGACATCATTGCTGGTTGGGTGTAAGCAGTGTTAGAAATAGATTCAAATTGCCACTAGCCAGTGGGGCTATGACCCCAAAATGTCACTAGCCCTTCAGACACTTTACTGGCCCGAATAATTCATGATAATTAATAACCAGCGCATATGAGAATAGTTAGAGTATTTATTTCACAAAATAATTGTTTCAGACTCTGACATTGATGGGACACACTCTAAGAATACCCATACATTTTCAAATTATCTTCATATTGAATTGTCTTAAGGACTTAAGTCATCATCACTGGAAGAATCCTCCACATCATAATTGTCTGCATCTGAGATGCTGCCATCACTATCATAGCAGTTGTCACAGTCAGAATCTTGAGGTGTTTAGGCCTCGCCAACCTCTCCATGATCAGCTCCTAAAGTATCACTTGCCAGGCGGGCTGGCAGTTATTTCGAACACTGGGTATAAGGGTCATATTCACCCACACCAAGGCAGTATACACAGTATACAAGATTGCAGGAGCCAATCAGATCTCAATACTCAGACATGGAGGTAAAATAAAAGTGTTTACACCCAAAATAATCATAATGTGTATACTGCAAAATACAATTGTGGGGTTTTCAGCTCTCTATTCAGCCAAACCCTATCACCACAATACTTGATACACCTTGACTGAGCTGTGTTGACATCCAGCGTAAAGCTGAAACCAGTTATCTGTTAAAGCTTCCCTTACATTGAGGAGATGCAACATCCTCCCTCCGGCTCCAAATTCTCCGTCGTCCTCGCAGCTCTGATACATGATGTCTGAGTTTGGGACTCGGATCCTGAAACAGGGGAGAAGTTAGCAGACAATCACCACACAATAGGGATCACGGAGACAGAAGTACTCGACTTTATTTATTCAAGTCTGGGACTGCATCACTACCAGAAAATCCTCAACATGGCAACATGAGGAAAGTGAGGGTTCATTAAGCAACACTTGTATGAGGGATGACAAAACAGTGCTGAGTCTATCTGTCATCCACTGTAAGGATGGAGCTGGCTGCTAAATATTTTTCAAAGTAATTCCCTCAGTGTTCCACAGATATCTGCAAACAATGCTAGAGTGACTTGAGCCTGCTGGTGTACATGGTGTGAAAGGCTTCCTCCCCAACAGCAGAAACATCATCATTAGCTTCATGGTAGGCACAGACTTCACCAACCTGTAGGCCACGATGTTATGGGTGGCTGCAGCTATCTTTCTGTTCTCAAGCAACTTATTTCTCACCAGCTCAATCTGAAATAGAAACACATCTCGATAACACACTGTCTTAGTTACACACTGTCTTAGTTACACACTGTCTTTGTTACACACTGTCTTAGTTACACACTGCCTTAGTTACACACTGTCTTCGTTACACACTGCCTTAGTTACACACTGCCTTAGCTACACACTGTCTTAGTTACACACTGTCTTAGTTACACACTGTCTTAGTTACACACTGCCTTAGTTACACACTGCCTTAGTTACACACTGTCTTCGTTACACACTGCCTTAGTTACACACTGCCTTAGCTACACACTGTCTTAGTTACACACTGTCTTAGTTACACACTGTCTTCGTTACACACTGCCTTAGTTACACACTGCCTTAGTTACACACTGTCTTAGCTACACACTGTCTTAGCTACACACTGCCGAGGTTCAGGCCCCGGTAAGGTAAGGACCTTTTGTGTGTGTCTTCAGGAGGGCGGGGTTTGAGTGTGCATGTCCAAGGGTGTATGTGTGTACAGGGATGTATGTGTGTATACGGGTGTATGTGTGTACAGGGGCGTATATGTGTACAGGGGTGTATGTGTGTACAAGGGTGTATGTGTGTACAGGGGCGTATGTGTGTACAGGGGTGTATGTGTGTACACGGGTGTATGTGTGTACAAGGGTGTATGAGTGTACAGGGTGTGTATGTGTGTACAGGGGTGTATGAGTGTACAGGGGTGTATGAGTGTACAGGGGTGTATGAGTGTATTGCTGTGTATGTGTGCATAGGGGTGTATGTGTGTATTGAGGTGTATGTGTGTATAGGGGTGTATGTGTGTACAGGGGTGTATGAGTGTATAGGGGTGTATGAGTGTACAGGGGTGTATGTGTGTATAGGGGTGTATGAGTGTACAGGGCTGTATGTGTTTACAGGGGTGTATGAGTGTATTGGGGTGTATGTGTTTACAGGGGTGTATGTGTGTATAGGGGTGTATGAGTGTACAGGGCTGTATGTGTTTACAGTGGTGTATCTGTGTATTGGGGTGTATGTGTGTATAGGGGTGTATGAGTGTATTTGGGTGTATATGTGTATAGGGGTGTATGAGCGTATTGGTGTGTATGTGTGTATAGGGGTGTATGAGTGTATTGAGGTGTATGAGTGTATAGGGGTGTATGTGTGTATAGGGGTGTATGTGTGTATAGGGGTGTATGAGTGTATTGCGGTGTATGTGTGTATAGGGGTGTATGTGTGTATAGGGGTGTATGTGTGTATAGGGGTGTATGTGTGTATAGGGGTGTATGTGTGTACAGGGGTGTATGTGTGTACAGGGGTGTATGTGTGTACAGGGGTGTATGACAAATAACTGCATATTTTTCACTTCCATCCACACTCCTGGGTAATTTGTGAAAAGACAATGCAGCCATAACAGCAGTCAAGTTCAAGAAGGACGCAGTATAAATACACTATCAGTAACCATGTTCAAGAAGGACGCAGTATAAATACGCTATCAGTAACCATGTTCAAGAAGGACACAGTATAAATACGCCATCAGTAACCATGTTCAAGAAGGAAGCAGTATAAATACACTATCAGTAACCATGTTCAAGAAGGACGCAGAATAAATACACTATCAGTAACCATGTTCAAGAAGGACGCAGTATAAATACGCTATCAGTAACCATGTTCAAGAAGGAAACAGTATAAATACGCTATCAGTAACCATGTTCAAGAAGGACGCAGTATAATACGCCATCAGTAACCATGTTCAAGAAGGACACAGTATAAATACGCCATCAGTAACCATGTTCAAGAAGGATGCAGTATAATATTCTATCAGTAACCATGTTCAAGAAGGACGCAGTATAATACGGTATCAGTAGCCATGTTCAAGAAGGACGCAGTATAATACGCTATCAGTAGCCATGTTCAAGAAGGACGCAGTATAAATACGCCATCAATAACCATGTTCAAGAAGGACGCAGTATAATACGCCATCAGTAAACATGTTCAAGAAGGACGCAGTATAAATACGCCATCAGTAGCCATGTTCAAGAAGGACGCAGTATAATACGCCATCAGTAACCATGTTCAAGAAGGACGCAGTATAAATACGCTATCAGTAGCCATGTTCAAGAAGGACGCAGTATAAATACGCCATCAGTAACCATGTTCAAGAAGGACGCAGTATAATACGCCATCAGTAACCATGTTCAAGAAGGACGCAGTATAAATACGCCATCAGTAGCCATGTTCAAGAAGGACGCAGTATAATACGCCATCAGTAACCATGTTCAAGAAGGACGCAGTATATAATAGCCATCAGTAACCATGTTCAAGAAGGGCGCTTAGTATAAATACGCTATCAGTAGCCATGTTCAAGAAGGACGCAGTATAAATCGCTATCAGTAACCATGTTCAAGAAGGACGAGTAGTATAAATACGCCATCAGTAGCCATGTTCAAGAAGGACGCAGTATAAATACGCCATCAGTAACCATGTTCAAGAAGGACGCAGTATAATACGCCATCAGTAACCATGTTCAAGAAGGACGCAGTATAAATACGCTATCAGTAACCATGTTCAAGAAGGACGCAGTATAAATATGCTATCAGTAGCCATGTTCAAGAAGGACGCAGTATAAATAGGCCATCAGTAACCATGTTCAAGAAGGATGCAGTATAAATACGCTATCAGTAGCCATGTTCAAGAAGGACGCAGTATAAATAGGCCATCAGTAACCATGTTCAAGAAGGATGCAGTATAATACGCCATCAGTAGCCATGTTCAAGAAGGACGCAGTATAAATAGGCCATCAGTAGCCATGTTCAAGGACGCAGTATAAATAGGCCATCAGTAACCATGTTCAAGAAGGACGCCTTATATATAATACGCCATCAGTAACCATGTTCAAGAAGGACACAGTATAAATAGGCCATCAGTAGCCATGTTCAAGAAGGACGCAGTATAATAAATACATCATCAGTAACCATGTTCAAGAAGGACGCAGTATAAATAGGCCATCATCAGGCCATCAGTAGCCATGTTCAAGAAGGGACGAGTATACATAACACGCCATCAGTAGCCATGTTCAAGAAGGGCGCAGTATACATACGCCATCAGTAACCATCTTCAAGAAGGACGCAGTATAAATACGCCATCAGTAGCCATGTTCAAGAAGGACGCAGTATACATACGCCATCAGTAGCCATGTTCAAGAAGGACGCAGTATAAATACGCCATCAGTAGCCATGTTCAAGAAGGACACAGTATAATACGGCTATCAGTAGCCATGTTCAAGAAGGACGCAGTATAATCAGTAACCACTACATACGACGCTATCAGTAGCCATGTTCAAGAAGGACGCGCCAGTATAAATACGCCATCAGTAGCCATGTTCAAGAAGGACGCAGTATAAATACGCCATCAGTAGCCATGTTCAAGAAGGACGCGAGTATAAATACGCTATCAGTAGCCATGTTCAAGAAGGACGAGTATAAATACGCCATCAGTATAGAATACGCTATCAGTAGCCATGTTCAAGAAGGACGCAGTATACATATGCCATCAGTAGCCATGTTCAAGAAGGACGCAGTATAAATACGCATCAGTAACCATGTTCAAGAAGGACGAGCAATCATAAATAGGCCATCAGTAGCCATGTTCAAGAAGGGCGCAGTATAAATACGCCATCAGTAGCCATGTTCAAGAAGGACGCAGTATAAATCACGCCATCAGTAGCCATGTTCAAGAAGGACGCAGTATAAATAGGCCATCAGTAGCCATGTTCAAGAAGGACGAGTATACATAATGCATCAGTAGCCATGTTCAAGAAGGGCAAGAAGGCTTGAGTATAATACGCCATCAGTAGCCATGTTCAAGAAGGACGCAGTATACATCGCCATCAGTAACCATGTTCAAGAAGGACGCGGTATAAATATACGCCATCAGTAACCATGTTCAAGAAGGACGCAGTATAAATACGCCATCAGTAGCCATGTTCAAGAAGGACGCAGTATACATACGCCATCAGTAGCCATGTTCAAGAAGGACGCAGTATAAATACGCCATCAGTAGCCATGTTCAAGAAGGACACAGTATAATACGCTATCAGTAGCCATGTTCAAGAAGGACGCAGAATAAATACGCTATCAGTAGCCATGTTCAAGAAGGACGCAGTATAAATACGCCATCAGTAGCCATGTTCAAGAAGGACGCAGTATAAATACGCCATCAGTAGCCATGTTCAAGAAGGACGCAGTATAAATACGCCATCAGTAGCCATGTTCAAGAAGGACGCAGTATACATACGCCATCAGTAGCCATGTTCAAGAAGGACGCAGTATACATACGCCATCAGTAGCCATGTTCAAGAAGGACGCAGTATAAATACGCCATCAGTAACCATGTTCAAGAAGGACGCAGTATAAATAGGCCATCAGTAGCCATGTTCAAGAAGGACGCAGTATAAATAGGCCATCAGTAGCCATGTTCAAGAAGGACGCAGTATAAATACGCCATCAGTAGCCATGTTCAAGAAGGACGCAGTATAAATAGGCCATCAGTAGCCATGTTCAAGAAGGACGCAGTATACATACGCCATCAGTAGCCATGTTCAAGAAGGATGCAGTATACATACGCCATCAGTAGCCATGTTCAAGAAGGACCCAGTATACATACGCCATCAGTAGCCATGTTCAAGAAGGACCCAGTATACATACGCTATCAGTAACCATGTTCAAGAAGGACGCAGTATAAATACGCCATCAGTAACCATGTTCAAGAAGGACGCAGTATAAATACGCTATCAGTAACCATGTTCAAGCACAACATTCATCATACCTCTTCCTTTTTGTAGACTGCAGCGAGATGTGACTGGAACTTGCTTTTCCGATCCCACAGGAACTCACTATGGTAGATGACTGGGCACAGGGCCTCCTCTGGTGAAGATCATTCATAAGTTATATATACAGATTTGTAAAGAGCATGTATACTTGATCTACAGTAGCATGAATTGTAGCTTACAACTCCAATCACAAGAATGTCTAGTCTGGATTTGTCTACTTGCAATCTACTGTCACATAGCTAGTATATTGATGATTCTAAGATGCTTCGGTGAAAGATCATAGGTGCCAACAGTACTTTTCAGACGATAATGTGCATTTTTTCTATTACGTCACAATGTATTGACGTCACTGCACCATTCTAGTCTGCCCCCTCGTAATCAAACAATTTTGCATTACACAATGTAAGCGACGTCACGATGCATGTCGGTTGTCATCGCCTCGTACAGCCTCCTACAGTAAACTACTCCATTATATCCCGTTTCTTGGTTTGCAGTTGCTTCACCCAGCTAACATCACTAGTGGAAACATTACGTTTATGTTTACGGTAAAAATGTCTCAATTCTGCCTTAAATTAATCGTAATTATCCTTAGAAAGTATTAAAGGTCACATGTAACCAAAAAATCAAACATAATTAAAACACAATTATCACTTATTCATGACATATAATATACATTGCTGGTTATGAAAAAACATCAACAAAATTATAAGCGTACAATCGCAAATCAAAAGTGCAATATTGTGTACTTGGGTTTACTTCCCAAGAAACGAAGCAGCTGGGATACCGAACTCAGTCAGAGCGGGAGGGTGTGCACTCAAGATGCCTCACGGCTCATTGTGTGTGTGTATATATAGAGATGTTGGGTTTTGTAAATACATGCTCATTTTTTGTGGATAACATTTTGCAATCAACAGACATCATTACATGTCATGTGTTCAAGTATCACACTGTCTGTCTGTGTAATTACATAAAGTGACAGAGACCAAACTTGGGCCATAAATCAATGCATTTTGTTTATGGTGTATAGCCTGATTGGTGTTAAGTTCAAATTGCATGTGGTCAGTGATCGCAGTTGTTTATTGAATATTGTCATTAGCAGACACGCAGGCAGACACACAGGTGTCAATAAAACAAGACTTTGAGTTTTGTCTGTGACAACGACATATCTATATCACAGTTGGAAATTCTGTCAACGCTAAATAATGACTTTGCTTTTAAGTATCGAACTGAGAAAGTGACTCGGTAAGAAGAACGTGTGGTGAAATTGACAAATGAAATTATATAAACAGTTTATTTACTGTCATAACATATAAAAAGCTCGCACCTGTGAGATATCAACAAAACATTAGGAAAATAGCTCACACCAAAGCCTTCACCAAGTATTCACCGGACAGCCCGCTTCCAAGTTGCGCGAACCTATTTCACTGCGCACGTGCTATGAGCGCAGCCCAGCTGTTGAAACCAGTTTTTCCCCAGTTTGAACTCCGATATCGCGCGGTTTTTTCATCGCGTTATTTTTCAACTTTATAAGTTAAACGTTAAAGCACTCGAACGCAAGCATCCTCGTACTTTAACTATAATAGTTCAGGGCGAAAGTGTGCTTTATTTCACTATACATGGTGGTAGAGCGAACTGTATTTCTTAAATGTGACTGGAATATCGGTGAATGTGACTGGAATATCGGTGAATGTGGCTGGAATATTGCTGAATGTTGCTGGAATATTGCTGAATGTGGCTGGAATATTGCTGAATGTGACTGGAATATTGCTGAATGTGACTGGAATATTGCTGAATGTGACTGGAATATTGCTGAATGTGGCTGGAATATTGCTGAATGTGACTGGAATATTGCTGAATGTGGCTGGAATATTGCTGAATGTGACTGGAATATTGCTGAATGTGACTGGAATATTGCTGAATGTGGCTGGAATACTGCTGACATATTAAACAAGAAAAACTGATTCTTTAGACCTGCAGGCTTCTTGTTCATGAACTGTGACAGACTAGTGCCACCTGTACTTTCCTTGTCGACATCGCCCCCTGCCTCGTCACCCCTGTCATCCAGGGAGGGGACTGTCCACGCCGAGATCAGGTCATCGGACGGGTCTGTGGACACTGTTGGTGTGTCAGTAGTTGCTGCTGCAGCTGGGAAAGAAACATTTGAAGAAACTCTTAAAGCAAATTTTTGAGAATGTATTGAAGGAATGAAGACATCTGTCTCACAAGCTACCTGCATCTGAGTTTGGACATAATGTCAATTAGGAAACTGAGCAGACCTTCCACTCAAAACTAATCCACAAGCAGACCTTCCACTAAAAACTAACTGTATAACAATTCACTCACAATTCAATGGTGATATTTACACAGAAGTGCGACAGCATTTGAAAATTCACTATGCAACACAACTATCTGTACCTTCGTATAATTATGTAACATCATAAAGCTAAGCGATACATAATTAGAAACACTTCGCAAATAATTCGCAAATTCTATTCACATCATGAGATAAAACCAGCCACTTCATCAACCAGCCATATCGCAAGTGTGCTCTCTCATGACTGCACTTATTACACCTGACATTCACCGTATATAGCAGAGATGCCAACCCCAAATTGGTGCAATAAGGAAATCTGAGCTCCCTAAGACAGCAAAAATAAGGAATTTTCCCAACAATTTTTAGGGATCCCTATAAATTGTTGCACTCAAGAAACGAAACCTTTCAATGTCATTACACATAGCGATCCTTATACAACTGAAACCGGCTTGCAGTACTCGGCAGCAGTGTTTGTGAATGGTAAGTGAATAAATATATATATAACAGTGCGTGGAATTAATCAGGCAGCCTACTCAACTTCTGGATGACTTTCTGTGTAAACTGCCGTCATATAGCTGGAATATTGCTGAGTGCAGCGTAAAACTAAACTCCCTTCTTGTGTAAACAATTTGAAACTTCTAATGTCAAAGATGATCCTAGTCCTCCAGTAAGTAACACTATCTATATCTTTGTTATATTTTGAAAAAAAATCAGAATGAATTTGGTTTTGTCGGAATGACGGAATCGACATGCATTTTTCGGGATGATTCGGGAGGGTTGGCATCTCTGTATATGGTCACATTTTCCATGCTTTACTCTTCTGCACTCGGCCCACCTTTCATCATTTCTTGCACTGACCACACAACCACGACATACAGTCCAACCTAACTACGTAACATATACATTCAAACCAGATTACTATGTGATCTTGACAACACGAGAACAGTCCACAGCAGAGCAGACAGTATCACCAAGACAGTGGACTTACAATTCCATGGTATGCTACAGGTAATGAATGTTTGCTTTATCACACAAAATAAAAATCTCCCCAAATGAGATCAGCAAAATGCAGTCCTACATTAAATAGATTATTTCTTATACATGTCTCTCACCACTCATGCCTCAGGAAGTTTTGGATAAATATCTGTTAAACTTGTCATTAAATTGGTCTAGCCTGAGTAAGAGGTTGCAGCTGTACCTCCATCGCCTGCTTGAGCTCAGTTCTTGTAGAAACTCCCTCGCTCTCTATCCACAAGTACAGGATACTCTCACCAAGATTCTCACTGAAACAAGACAAGTAGCACCGGTATAAAAGTGGAGGCCATCATTTCACAAGGAAAGGATGCTCTCACCAAGATTCTCACTGAAACAAGACAAGTAGCACCGGTATAAAAGTGGAGGCCATCATTTCACAAGGAAAGGATGCTCTCACCAAGATTCTCACTGAAACAAGACAAGTAGCACCGGTATAAAAGTGGAGGCCATCATTTCACAAGGAAAGGATGTTCTCACCAAGATTCTCACTGAAACAAGACAAGCAGCACCGTTATATAAGCGGGGGCCATCATTTCACAAGTACAGGATGCTTTCACCAAGATTCTCACTGAAACAAGACAAGCAGCACCGCGGTAAAAGCCGGGCGCCATCATTTCACAAGTACAGGATTTCACAAGTACAGGATGCCTCACCAAGATTCTCACTGAAACAAGACAAGCAGCACCGGTATAAAAGTGGAGGCCATCATTTCACAAGGAAAGGATGCTAACACCAAGATTCTCACTGAAACAAGACAAGCGGCACAGGAGAGGCCATAATATCGCAGTCAGAAGAGGCATTCATGTGCATGCCAGCTGGTTTACGATGCTAGCTGCCCACTAAGATACAATGATGTGGTTTCACACTGATACCCAACAGGCACTGTGTACTGACTCTCTATTGACCAGTCCTGTTGCTGACCACTGAGAAGGGATATAACAAGGACGATCACTGACATTCTTTTGGAATGACCCATCTGCGACTTGAACCATGGACCTTCAGCTCTATGATAAGATGCTTTATCCACTATACCATGAAGGGCGTCTTTGGTTAGAAAATGAACTGAAATTACAACTAGAAATAGACCACACTGTCCAGGACTAGTGAGGTTGTACTATGCATCACTGTGATTCATCACACAAGCATTATTAAACACATCAGTTATAAACACACTTCATTAGACCTAAAGAATGTGAACTAATACATAGTTCATTTGGTGTTTAGTTCAACATGTTAAAACTGTAACATATATGTCCTCACTTAATACAATGTAACAAAAATCACTTTAAAGGAATGGCAACAACCACAAAGTACTGGCATGACCGGCTACCCATAACCGAATACTGGCATGATCGGCTACCCTCCAACAAATACTGGCATAACCGGCTACCCATAACCGAATACTGGCATGACCGGCTACCCATAACCGAATACTGGCATGACCGGCTACCCATAACCGAATACTGGCATGATCGGCTACCCATAACCGAATACTGGCATGACCGGCTACCCTCCAACAAATACTGGCATAACCGGCTACCCATAACCGAATACTGGCATGGCCGGCTACCCATAACCGAATACTGGCATGACCGGCAACCCTCCAGCAAGTACTGGCATGACCGGCTACCCTCCACCAAGTACTGGCATGACCGGCTACCCTCCACCAAGTACTGGCATGACCGGCTACCTTCCACCAAGTACTGGCATGACCGGCTACCCTCCACCAAGTACTGGCTGACCGGCTACCCTCCACCTACTACTGGCATGACCAGTTACCCTCCACCTAGTACTGGCATGACCGGCTACCTTCCACCAAGTACTGGCATGCCTGGGTACCTTCCACCAAGTACTGGCATGATCAGCTACCCTCCACCAAGTACTGGCATGGTTGGCTACCCTCCACCTACTACTGGCATGACCAGCTACCCTCCAGCAAGTACTGGCATGAAAAGCTACCCTCCACCAAGTACTGGCATGACCGGCTACCCTCCACCAAGTACTGGCATGAAAAGCTACCCTCCACCAAGAACTGGCATGAAAAGCTACCCTCCAGCAAGTAGTGGCATGAAAAGCTACCCTCCAGCAAGTACTGGTATGATCGGCTACCCTCCACCAAGTACTGGCATGACCGGCTACCCTCCACCAAGTACTGGCATGAAAAGCTACCCTCCACCAAGTACTGGCATGAAAAGCTACCCTCCACCAAGTACTGGCATGATCCGCTACCCTCCACAAAGTACTGGCATGACCGGCGACCTTCCACCAAGTACTGGCATGACCGGCTACCTTCCACCAAGTACTGGCATGACCGGCTACCCTCCACCAAGTACTGGCATGAAAAGCTACCCTCCACCAAGTACTGGTATGATCGGCTACCCTCCACCAAGTACTGGCATGACCAGCTACCCTCCACCAAGTACTGGCATGACCGGCTACCTCCACCAAGTACTGGTATGATCGGCTACCCTCCACCAAGTACTGGCATGACCAGCTACCCTCCACCAAGTACTGGCATGAAAAGCTACCCTCCACCAAGAACTGGCATGAAAAGCTACCCTCCACCAAGTACTGGCATGACCGGCTACCTTCCACCAAGTACTGGCATGACCGGCTACCTTCCATCAAGTACTGGCATGATCGGCTACCCTCCACCTAGTACTGGCATGAAAAGTTACCCTCCACTAAGTACTGGCATGACCGGCTACCCTCCACCAAGTACTGGCATGACCGGCTACCCTCCACCAAGTACCTACATGATAATGGCAACATGTAAGGCAAGACTACTTACATATATATATCTTGTAATGCATTTTCCAGCTGCAATCGACTTTCACCTCGGAGCCAGGGTGCACTGATAAAGAAACAGAGGAAGCAATACTCCACACAGGAGATGCACAACACATATCACAGTGACCCGCAACTGACAGATTTACTTAGTGTGGTGATCAGGTTATCAGCAGCTCTACTTGTCTCATTATAAATACTGCTTACTGCTGCATACTACAGGTTATCATGTATACTACATGTTATCATGAATACTACAGGCTACTGCTGCATACTACAGGTTATCATGTATACTACAGGTTATCATGAATACTACAGGCTACAGCTGCATACTACATGTTATCATGTATACTACATGTTATCATACATACTACAGGCTACTGCTGCATACTACAGGTTATCATACATACTACAGGCTACTGTTGCATACTACAGGTTATCATGCATACTACAGGTTAAAGCTGCATACTACAGGCTATTGTTGCATACTACTGGTTACAGCTGCATACTACAGGTTATAGGTGCAAACTACAGGTTACTGCTGCATACTACAGGTTACTGCTATATACTACATGTTACTTCTGCATACTATAGGTTACAGCTGCATACTGCAGGTTACTGCTATATACTAGAGGTTATAGGTGCAAACTACAGGTTACTGCTATATAGTACAGGTTACTGCTATATACTACAGGTTACAGCTGCATACTACAGGTTACTGCTATATACTACAGGTTACAGATGTATGCTACTGGTTACACCTGCATACTACAGGTTACTGCTGTATACTACAGGTTACTTCTGCATACTATTATAAAGATTACAGCTGCACACTACAGGTTACTGCTGCATGCTATTATATAGATCACAGCTGCATACTACAGGTTACTGCTATATACTACATGTTACAGCTGCATACTACAGGTTACTGCTATATACTACAGGTTACAGCTGCAAACTACAGGTTACTGCTGCATGCAGTAACATACACCTCCATACCTCTGCTGACTTGTGTCATGAAGACTATGCTTTTTAAGTGAAATATGTTGAAAGAATCAAGTAGATTGAAAATTAGTGTTGTCATAATGAAAAGTTTATTTGACATGTAATCAAGAAAAAACCAAAATGGTTTTATGACAATGGGTTGAAGCCCAAGGATGCAATCAAACAATAAAGTGTTCCCTCATCACCTACTTGACACGGTACTGAGGGGGAGCGGCACTTGGATATTCCACTGGCAGAATCACCTGCAGAAACACATTCATGTAATATAATACAAGTATAACTGATAATTCACAAAGACACTGCTATAAAATATATGTAACAAAATATTCATGTCAGTCTATTATCAATAGTTGTCTCCCCTTCCCCCCTGTCAATTTTGAAGCTGTGTTTGTTTCATACAACATGTACGCTGACCCCAGACCGAGGTCACTGGGTTTTCAAACAAAGAAGATTCTTAAGTTTCATAAAAAATAACCATAACAGACAACGTAGTAAATGCAAAAACATTGATGTAAATATTGCTGTTGCAGCAACGTACCGACAGCCTGAGTTGCAGGTTCCCTGATTCCGAATCACCCTGTATGTCGATGTAGTAGTGGCGGGTAGCCTCATCTTCAACATGCCACTCATCACCATATATGGAAGTCAAAACTTCAATCTCATCTATCTACAACAAATTCAGTTTCATTCACGAAACAAAGGTACAATCTGTGTTGGCGATTCAAGGACACTGACTTGCTGCGTCACATTGACTCACAATCAAAGCGTATATTTTCATGCCATTATATAGTTATTGAACAATAATTGTATAAATTGAAAACAAAACATCAGTAAACCATTTAATTCTTTACAAGATATGAATAGTTATGGTCCTATTCAGTACTGTCTTGGAGCGTTTGACAGAATGATTTGAAACAAACAAGCTCAGGGGTGGAAATAACTTTAAAATTGCTAGTGTACTCTGGTACAGTGGCACATGTAAAATCACTTGCCCTGATAATTTTTCCACTATACCAGCTGTTTTCTTGTTGACTTTTTACATAAAGAACATAATTAACATTGGAAAGTCAACTGGACACCGGTACAGAGTGATATACAAATTTGCTTGCCCGACAGAAAAAGACACTGGACTTGGGCGTCGGGCAATGGGTTATTTCCACCCCTGAACGTTTATCTATAATGAACCTGCAGATGATGGACTGTACTTTAGTGAGCGAGTTTAGTTTTACGCCACACTCAGCAATATTCCAGCTATAAGTCTTAGCTTTTCACATCCACTACCAACCACAAGAATACAACTAGGTGTTCTGGATACAGTTAATGACATTTGTGGACATAACATATAATTTCTATCATTTCGGGACACATTTTGTGTTGTGAAATTAAGGTGAAAAGAACACCAGCATATTGTTTAGCACATACCAACCAATTCGAACAACAGTGTACCAACATCATCAACGTCCTGTCTATTACCCCGACCTATCAAGGCAGGTGGAACCGCATGGCTACTGCAGACTAGATCAAGATGTACAGATGAAGGTAGATACTCGACAAGTATATATACAAAATCAAGGACATATTCCCAATCAGTGTCAAAGAAATCATGTTATTTTAGAGCTGACAATATCACTGACCACATGTGTAACATTAACAAAAATTGTGACAGGACTACTATATAACACACCAGCAACTGGCATATCGATGGATTTACCTGTTGTCGGTTCCTTGTCTTTGTGCGACTGCTTCTTTTCGACATAACTCGAGTTTGATCGTGATTGCGAAATATCTAAATTTAATTCCAAGTAAGTTTCATTATTAGCTCAACCAAAAATACCCTCTATCCAAGTTTCATTTTACAATTCTGGGAATAACTAACTTTCGGTTTCAGGATGTTTGAGCGAAGTCAACGCAACGAGTAACAATTATTTGATCATTCGACTATAAACACAAGTTGTTGTCATTTTCTCACCTGCTTGGAAAGGTTATCTTCTTTATCCTCTTCCGCCATCGCGGCAAATAACAACAAATCAGATCATTGCTGGAACTTCACGCCAATTCCAAGAACTACAACGTGTTGAGGTCACCATCTTGAAAGTTTACACACATCACGTGACTGTCATGTGACTTCTCGGGTCATGTTACTCTCGCAGACGGGATTGCTGTTGGAGAGGGTACTAGATATACAAGCGAGTCCGGTAATTCTGCGCAGCTACAATAGCGTACTTCCGTGTCGAAGGTAAACATCGTCTGCTACCACATTTACGCTTGATATCGGGACATTTCTACATGGGACTGGCTTTTAATCACTAATGGTAAGTAAGTAACAGTAACTGACAGAAAAATTGACAGTTTTATGAAAATTCGTTTTCTTCAGACTTTTAAAACTTTTTCTTCATTATTCATAATTGGATTTAATATGAAACACCCTTCCTTACAATGATGAAGTGATTTTTGAAAATAATCTGACCCTAATACGCTTCCATACTTCGGATCTCCCGCTGGATGTTTTGCGCATCAGCTGCTACACGCAGACTTACCGGACAGCAAGCAATGTCGTCAGAACGCCGGTAAGGCCAACCGTATGGCATAATGCAACGTTAGAATCTTATAATCTTATAGTCGTCAATAAAACTTATATTTCTAGGTAAATATGATGTATACCAGCATGTTTAGTCACATAAACCAAAAAAAATAAGAGAAGTTAGTTGCCGTGTTGCGATCGATGTGATTAGGTGTGCGGAATATTACCGGACGGCATTGTAATGTAGTATTCTGTATACAGAAAGGTACTCAAGCCAAAAAGAGATTACAGAAACTTCCATTAGGACGAGTCCATTCAACATTGTGCCGTTTTCTTTATCCAAACTGTCATACTGTTGTATGAGATGCATTCGAAAGCGTAAGTAAGGAGCAGCCAGACACAACAGTGTCAACACTTGAAGTTGAATAATTCGTACTACATACTGTAGTACCCGTGACTTCAACGTTAATTATTTAATTATTTGAAAATATTTTATTCAGTGTTGAAATGGATTGGGCACAAGTTATGTAACTTATTACCACCCGCTCTCATCAGAAACATGAACAATAATGAATGGACATAATAACATTAAGACATATTAATGAAATACGTTAATTATGAAATACAGTTAGCAAAATAGTATAATAGTTCAGGGCGAAAGTGTGCTTTATTACACTATACATGGTGGTAGAGCGAACTGTATTTCTTTTCTAAGATGCCAAATTTAATACTTTCTAAGGATAATTACGATTAATCTACAAAGGACGGTGCCGGTGACCTAAATTAAGAATCCTCGCACAGGGCTAATTGGCGCGCTGTTCTATTGATGTGTCTGGCCCCCTACGTTAAGACGAACGTTACCGAAAAATAAATAAATGATAAACAGTTTGATGACGATTTCTTTTCGGATTAAATATCTTCTCTAAATTATTTAAATTACATCTGTGATTAACGTAAACCATATGGGGCAATATGAACGTCGCATTACTACTACCAACGTAAGTTTAGATCAGTACACCCAGATGAAGCTGAATAGACAAGCGACATTCCACGATTGCATTGTGGGAACATAAACATTGCGAACGTTAAGATAAGATAATATAATTCTTTATTGTCCCAAGGGAAATTTGTTTTGCATCATAAGTTCTCCAGTTTTTCATTCATAAATCAGCAGTACATAACATTGCAATTGGTAATCATGAAATAATCAGGATATAAATACATCAATTTAGTACACAAACATTGAATAGAATTTGGACAATTAAAAGACAAGTCAATCACAGAATTCGTTGTTAATGCATCTAATACTAGCTGGAACCTGTTTGTTCTAAAAGTCGGCATGCGCAGCCTGCGTCTAGAAGGTAATGATGAATATTCAGAAAAGAGTGTGTGAGTAGGATCACTTAACATTTTGTTTGCCTTTTTTTAAAATTTGCTGCTCATAACAACTGCCGATACATTCGATAGGAAGCCCAATAATTATAGACGCAGTCTTTACGATTTTTGAGAGTTTGTTTTTATTCTGAACAGACAGGTTCCCGAACCAACTCAAGAAATTAAAGGTTATGACACTTTGAATAAAGGTTTTGTAAAATAACATCATGATAGTTTGGTCGATTTTAAATGTTTCAACTTCCATGAAATATGTAAGCGTTGCTGTCCTTTTTTATATATTTTCTCAGTGTTTTCGTTCCAGGAGAGTTTCGAATGTAAGACAGTACCCAAATATCTGTATTCAGTTACTCATTCGATTTCATTATCTTCAATATTTACAGCATTTATTGTTGACTTAGCTTTTCGAAAATCTATGATAATTTCTTCGTGTTTTTGCACATTCAAAAATAAAAAGTTTGATTTACACCTTTCTACAAATTTTGAAATTTCAGCTCTGTAACTAAGTTCTGATTCCCTAATAAGGCCTACCAATGCAGCAGCATCCGCGAATTCGACTGTAAAACATGTTTCTGTGTTGGATACACAGTCATTGGTGTACAATATGAACAGAATTGGTGAAATAACGCAACCTTGTGGAGCGCCAGTTGATGTGTTTACAATTGATGATTCCACATTATTAACCTGATGATGTTAGAATTAACATTCATTTTGAAAAGTTTATCAATTAACAAATCAGGTTGAATAGTATTAAAGGCAGATGAAAAATCAACAAACATTATTCTCACATAAGTACCATAGTTTTCTAAATGCTCATAGACATTGTTTAACAGAGTGGTTGTTGCATCATCTACCCCACGCCTTGTTCTGTATGCAAATTGTAATGGGTCAAGAACATGGCGGACTTTATTCAACAATAAGATCTTAACAATACGTTCCAAACATTTCATGGCAATAGAGGTTAGGGCCACTGGTCTGAAGTCATTATTAACAGAGGGATTTTTCTTTTTTGGCAATGGAATAATTTTAGAGGTTTTCCAAAGAATAGGAACACTATGAGAATTAATTGATATCTGAAATAGCTTTTGGAAAATAACAGCCAGTTGCACTCTACATTCCTTAAGTGAGTGAGTGAGTGAGTTATTATTTAACGTCACATCGGCAATATTTCAGCCATATCGTGACGAACATTCCTTAAGAACAATCCATAGCAAGTATCAGGCCCACAACATTTATGCGGATTTATCTTAGCGAATGAACTAATCACATCATTTGTCGATATATTTAACATTTCACAAAGTGGATGCGATTCCAATACAAGTTTCCTTTCATCTGAAAAATTCCGTTGCCGTGTCGCTGAAAACTTGTGAGTCGAATTGAGATATTGTAACCGTCGGAAAACATAAACGTAATGTTTCCACCAGGGATGTTAGCTGCGTGAAGCAACTGCAAACCAAGGAACTGGATGCAACGGAGTAGTTTACTGTAGGAGGCTGCACGAGGCCATGACAACTGACATGCATCGTGACGTCGCTTACGTTGTGACGTAATGCAAAATTGTTCGATTACGAGGGGGCAGACTAGAATGGCGCAATGACGCCAATACATTGTGACGTAATGCAAAAGTGCACATTATCGTCTGATAAAGTACCAGGGGCGCCTTTGATCTTTCACCGAAGCATCTTAGAATCTAGCTTAGATACTTTTACTAAACTTCGATATTAACAACACTCAGTATAAAATCGTCACCCCATGAACTTGGAACTAGCTGACCCTCCCGAGTTAATCTTGTGTAGGAGCTGTGTGAGATTTCATAAACTGGCAGTCTTGTTTATACCTTATCTTTGTAAAGCATAATCTCTGTTAAATGGCCCACCTCTACATTTTGTTATCTATTGCACATAAGTCAGAGGTATATAGTACTAAGATAGCGGACAGAATGTCTGCAGTAAGGTACCGTTCATAATTTATGGCCAGGAGGGTGATGATTTTTATGGAGAGGCATGTACAATGTGAATGCCCCCACCCCCCCCCCCTTAATCAATGACACCCCAGACACCCTAATTATTTCAAAGCATAATGTTTTGATATATTAATGTACAAAATTGTTGTCCCCGGCCTTTAGTACATATGTACAAAAGTTTCCCCAGAACAAAAAGGGTGACCTCCCCACCTCCCTAAAATCATCATCACCTCCACTAGCTATAAATTATTAAGGGTCCCTTTGTTGGATACCTTGGGTATCATCTAAAGACAACACAGGTCTGTGGAAATACATGCCCCTGCATGTCCAGTGGAGACTCCTCCTACCTCATCTGTATCTGTGTTTAGTGTGCTTGTGTTGTGTCTCCTTATCCATACCATAATGTTACATAATGACAATATCATACACCTATCTAAAAACTCATCACCAATATATTTCCATTTGTATCACTCACTGAAATACTTTAAAGAAAAAACAATTTTCTTGTGTTAGTGGATTAATATAACATAACAAATTATACCCTTGAAAACAACTTCTATTTTAACTGTGGAAGACAGCAGGTTATCTCCCCTGAATACTATGTTTGGGCAGGGGGCAATGAATTTAGGCAAATATACACAATAATAATAATTGGATGAACAATGAGAAATTATGGATTATCTGTTCAAAGGTTATTAATTTTATAATAATATTTATGGATCAGTAAAGATTTTTCAACACTTATTTATGAGGGACTGATACTCCGTAATTCCGAGTTGCTAACAGGTTATGCGTGTATTTTGTATAACCCACGATATTTTGGGAGAATGAGGGTTTGGATACAATCAATGCAGTGGAACAACAGGAACAGCCAATCAGCATGAAGCAAAGCATATGACGCTCAGTGAACTAAAGACAGTTGAACTATATTCCAGACACTGATGGTAACAGAGGAACATATTTGGCAGAGAACACTTGTGAGAAAGAAAATAACAAAGACAGCATGAAATACAAAAGTGATACTACATCTACATTCCTCTTTACTTGCTAAGAGCGGTGTCATTTAAATAGAAAACAAAACACAAACAACTTTGGTAAATATGCTATCTCAGAAATACATATTCTCTAAGACTAACGATATTATCAAGAAACAACCATAGAAAACGTACAGATACACGTAGCTACGGTCAGACCTATCTCGTGGTCCTCCACTGACACTCCATGTTTTAAGCGACGATATATGAGGTGGTTGTTGCTGACTGCCTTGTTTATCTACAACATTTGTAATGAACCTAATTTATTGCTGGGGTGGGGGGATGGGGGATGGTTTGATTTTTAAGCAAGGGTATTTTTAAGCAATATTGTAAATAATAATATTAAAAAATGATGCTTATAAATTAAAGGAGGGGGAGGGAGGACAGCACTGATTTTGTACATGACATGCAGGGGGTGGGGGGCATCTTTTACTTTGTACATAAATTTTAGGGGAGGGTTATTTACATTGTACATGATTCTCCACTAAAATCATCATCTACCCCCCAGCCATAAATTATGTACGGTCCCTAATAAAGCTGGGGACTGCCTTCGTATAACACAACATTTCTCATGAAGATTGGTTAATACTGACACACAGACCATGTCTATCTGAAACAGTGGTTGAGTTTGGTTATGCCTACAGTGAAAATGTCACAACTTTGAAAACTGTGAGCATGATGTGATTTGAAAAACAAAATGGTCCCAAAATATTAACCTTGTCTGGTCAAGGGTTAATTGTAGTAATAAGTAAAAATAAGAATATACTGTTTAAAGATTTTTATTTCCTTATACAAAAGACACATTGTATAACATGATACCTTTTCCCTGGAAAACACCATGAATAACTGACATTCAGAATATTGATATATTGAGATATATTCAAGCCCAAAATTAATATTGCGATGCAATGATACATAAACATCAACAAAACAAAAGTAGAAACAGTCTTTGATTGCAGTCAAAGCACATCACACACAGTGCATCATTGTCTGATGTTAATGAAACAAGACTAGGATAAGTAAACCACATGATTCACCATCGTCACTGTACACAACGATATACAAATATAGAAACAGTATTTCAGATAATAAAAGTACCAATGTAACAACATATATGTACATGATCATTACTGAGATCCTTAGATGTAGGATCCTGAACAATAACTTGTCAAACATCAATAATAGAACATACGACTGAAGAAATACACCTCAAGTCTATCTTTGCAGATACAGCCCTCCTCCTGTGACAACTGACTGACTGAGTTTGGTTTTACGCTGCTTTTAGCAATATTCCAGCAACATCATGGCGGGGGACACCAGAAATGGGCTTCACCCATTGTACCCATGTGGGGATTTGAACCCGGGTCTTTGTTGTGACGAGCCAACTCTTTAACCACCAGGCTACCCCACCGCCTCCCTCCTGTGACAAAAAGGTTGGAGTCCTGCAAACACTGATCACAGAATGTTGGATTCTGACAATAACGTCTGGTGCTATACAGTTTCATTGTCTAATTGTTTGGTAGACATTTACTTATAACAACTGTTGGGTAGTCCAAAATCATTATTTAAAAATATTTAAAATCATGAATTTGTAATAACTTTGATAATGAAAGCATTGATTTGACTGAGAAGAGCCCAGGGCTTACTTGGAGCATGCTGTACTGTGTCCTGGGTTAGAACTGATATTTAGCAACCCATGCTGGTCATAAGAGACGTCTGATTGGATAAAGGTGGTCAGAACTGATTCCCACGTCAATCACTGGATTGTCTGTTCCACATCCACCTTATATTGGAGTCATATTGTTGAGTTTGGCTTTAAACAGTTGAGTACAGTTCTGATGGAGCAAGGAATATAATCAGTATCTCCACATCCTGTCTTGGGTGAGGACAAAACTCTGTACAGACACTTGCAGCATTTTATACGGTTTATGGACACGAAGTCGACCTTTTGAAATTTCGCTATGGACACGAAGTCGACCTGCGGCTAACTTTGATGTCGAAGGTGTTGTTAGAGTCACCCTAATCCGCCAGTGGGTGTTGTTTTAAGATTGTCGATAACTTGGGCGTGCAAAAGGCGTGAACATAGTTCACCCACGTAGTTCACACAAAATGTCATCAATGTCATGTATGTTGAGGTAGTTTACTTTCAGTTTCGAAATGGCAAATGCACAGTTGAATCAGCGATTTCTTCCTACATCTCGTGGTGGCAGATACCTGTGTGTTGGTGGCTTTATGTACCGTGTGAATAAGAGGACTGACTGACTGAGTTTGGTTTTACGCCGCTTTTAGCAATATTCCAGCAACATCACGGCGGGGAACACCAGAAATGGGCTTCACACATTGTACCCATGTGGGGATTCGAACCCGGGCCTTCGGCGTGACGAGCCAACGCTTTAACCACTAGGCTACCCCACCGCCCCGTGAATAAGAGGAAGAGAGATTGGATATCTTGGGAAGTCCACAGAAAAGAACTGTCAATCCATTGCGTCAACCGTCAATGACCCCATAGTCATCCCAATGTCAAAGTAGACATGAAGGTAAGCATTTTCTCAATGCCTAATATCAATATGTTACAAAGAAAAATATAAATGTAAAATAAATATATCTGATCCGAACCATGTTTTGCATAATTTACATTTGATATTTGTTCACAAGTGAAGGAAACCCTTGATGACTTGAAAGTGAAAGCAGCATCCACTCTCTCCCCGATGCCTTCCCTTTATGAAGAAGAAATAGGCAGTTTAAGAAAGGTTCCTGGACTGAGGACACCAAAGCCCTAGTTTCATCAATGCCAACATTTGATAGTAGCAGGAACCTCCTCTACCGTGCCAGAAGAGCCGTCCTGCCTCGACTTCCCAGCAGACGAGATGACCTTGTCATCCCAGAAGATTTCCAGAAGACCGAATCTGGTGAGGATTTCCTCCTGGTAGACGATGGAACCGACGACCCACGATGCCAAGACATCAGTGACTACATCACCAGCTACTTGGTCGAGGGTGACCTCCATAGACCACATTGGAACCAACAACCATTTAGAAGGGTGGCACTCTCGTCTCAAGAGATTGGTGGGGAAGGCGCACCCCAATATCTTTGAAATGATCAAGTTTCTTGCAAAGGACGAAATATAATACTTTTCTCCTGTTGTCTGTGCTTTCAACCGCATAATCCGGATTATCACCTTGTGTAAACACTGTGGATTATTTCTGTCTTTTTTAATCCCCTGTTGATTGGTATAATGTCAAATGGACAGGACGTCGACCTTTTTTCTTACCTGAACCGTGACAATTCCCCCAAAGGTCGACGTCCTGTGCAGACACCTTTTATACAACTGTGCTCGACAGATGTCCTCTAGTGATAACAATAATTCAGAAACAACAAAACATGGTTTTCAAATCAACAGAATTTTGCAGTTGATAATTGTACGTCCTGAGATAGTTCTCCAAGCCTATACCATATTTTTTACACAATATGTACATCAGTGACTAGTCTTCATAACATGACAAGGTGGGATGGTATTTGGATGACACAACTAGCCTGAATAGTACTTGAATGATACAACTAGCCTGGGTGGTACTTGGATGATACAACTAGCCTGGGTGGTACCTGGATGATACAACTAGCCCGGATGGTACTCGGATGACCCAAATAGCCTGGGTGGTACTTGGATGATACAACTAGCCTGGATGGTACTTGGATGATACACCTAGCCTGGATGGTGCTTGGATGACACAACTAGCCAGGATGGTAATTCTGCTAGAGGAATGACAGGCGGCAACAGGTGAGTATATGCGATATTCCCATCAGCAGCATTAGGAAGATAATCATCGTCATGACAATCACGTAGTGGCTGATGCTTGTGCCTATCTCTAGCCAGCTGCCGTAATCACGCACCATGAAGAAGAAATGCTGGAACAGAGCAAGAACATTGTACAGCATCTACCTGTGAGGTTGTATAACATCATGGTGGAGTTTACTGATCAGTGTCAGAGACACCTAGCCAATTATTGGAGATTCACTGTCACAGTCGGGAGTCATTTACCTGTGAATACACAGTCAGAGCCATTACTTGTTAAACACCTGTGAAAATGGAACAGCATCTTTAGAAACAGTACTTTCTGCAATTCCAAGGCTTTACTGTACATCCACATGTCCTGGCGATATCACTGTTATATATTTTCCAAATTACAAACTGCTTCTTTTGGCACAATAGTGGAATATGTGTATATTTGTGTTGGAAACTTGTGTTATGTATGTAGATCCAACACAACTAACCAGCCCCATGAAGTCTAGAACCAACACAACTCACCAACTCAAAGAAGTCTAGCAACAACACAACTCACCAGCCCCATGAAGTCTAGCAACAACACAACTCACCAGCCCCATGAAGTCTAGAACCAACACAACTCACCAGCCCCATGAAGTCTAGCAACAACACAACTCACCAGCCCCATGAAGTCAAGCAACAACACAACTCACCAGCCCCATGAAGTCTAGAACCAACACAACTCACCAGAGGCATGAAGTCTAGAAACAACACAACTCACCAGCCCCATGAAGTCTAGCAACAACACAACTTACCAGCCCCATGAGTTCAGAACCAACACAACTCACCAGCCCCATGAAGTCTAGCAACAACACACGCTCACCAGCCCCATGAAGTCTAGAAGCAACAACACAACTCACCAGCCCCATGAGTCTAGAACCAACACAACTCACCAGCCCCATGAAGTCTAGCAACAACACAACTCACCAGCCCCATGAAGTCTAGAACCAACACAACTCACCAGCCCCATGAAGTCTAGCAACAACACAACTCACCACCAGCCCCATGGAAGTCAAGCAACAACACAACTCACCAGCCCCATGAAGTCTAGAACCAACACAACTCACCAGAGGCATGAAGTCTAGAAACAACACAACTCACCAGCCCCATGAAGTCTAGCAACAACACAACTTACCAGCCCCATGAAGTCCAGAACCAACACAACTCACCAGCCCCATGAAGTCTAGCAACAACACAACTCACCAGCCCCATGAAGTCTAGCAACAACACAACTCACCAGCCCCATGAAGTCTAGAACCAACACAACTCACCAGCCCCATGAAGTCTAGCAACAACACAACTCACCAGCCCCATGAAGTCAAGCAACAACACAACTCACAAGCCCCATGAAGTCTAGAACCAACACAACTCACCAGAGGCATGAAGTCTAGCAACAACACAACTCACCAGCCCCATGAAGTCTAGCAACAACACAACTCACCAGCCCCATGAGTCTAGAAACAACACAACTCACCAGCCCCATGAAGTCTAGCAGCAACACAACTCACCAGCCCCATGAAGTCTAGCAACAACACACAACTCACCAGCCCCATGAGAAGTCTAGAACCAACACAACTCACCAGCCCCATGAAGTCTAGCAAGCAACACAACTCACCAGCCCCATGAAGTCTAGAACCAACACAACTCACCCAGAGGCATGAAGTCCTAGCAACAACACAACTCACCAGCCCCATGAAGTCTAGAACCAACACAACTCACCAGAGGCATGAAGTCTAGCAACACAACTCACTCAGCCCCATGAAGTTCAGCTAACAACACAACTCACCAGCCCCATGAAGTCTAGAACCAACACAACTCACCAGCCCCATGAAGTCTCACTTGGCACAACTCTCCAGCCCCATGAAGGAGTCTAGAACCAACACAGCTCACCAGAGGCATGAAGTCTAGCAACAACACAACTCACCAGCCCCCATGAAGTCTAGCAACAACACAACTCCACCAGCCCCATGAAGTCTAGAACCAACACAACTCACCAGCCCCATGAAGTCTAGCAACAGCACACAACTCACCAGCCCCATGAAGTCTAGAACCAACACAACTCACCAGCCCCATGAAGTCTAGCAACAACACAACTCACCAGCCCCATGAAGTCTAGCAACAACACAACTCACCAGCCCCATGAAGTCTAGCAACAACACAACTCACCAGCCCCATGAAGTCTAGAACCAACACAACTCACCAGCCCCATGAAGTCTAGCAACAACACAACTCACCAGCCCCATGAAGTCAAGCAACAACACAACTCACCAGCCCCATGAAGTCTAGAACCAACACAACTCACCAGAGGCATGAAGTCTAGAAACAACACAACTCACCAGCCCCATGAAGTCTAGAACCAACACAACTCACCAGCCCCATGAAGTCTAGCAACAACACAACTCACCAGCCCCATGAAGTCTAGCAACAACACAGCTCACCAGCCCCATGGAAGTCTAGAGACCAGCACTACTCACCAGCCCCATGAGAGTCTAGCAGCAACAGGCAGCTCACCAGCCCCATGAAGTCAAGCAACAGCACAGCTCACAAGCCCCCATGAAGTCTAGAACCAACACAACTCACCAGAGGCATGAAGTCTAGCAACAACACAACTCACCAGCCCCATGAGAGTCTAGAAACAACACAACTCACCAGCCCCATGAAGTCTAGCAACAACACAGCTCACCAGCCCCCATGAGAGTCTAGAACCAACATAACTCACCAGCCCCATGAAGTCTAGAACCAACACAGCTCACCAGAGGCATGAAGTCTAGCAACAACACAACTCACCAGCCCCATGAGTCTAGAACCAACACAACTCACCAGCCCCATGAAGTCCTGGCAACAACACAACTCACCAGCCCCATGAGAGTCTAGCAACAACGCACAGCTCACCAGCCCCATGAAGTCTAGAGCCAACACAACTCACCAGCCCCATGAGAGTCTAGAGACCAACACAACTCACCAGAGGCATGAAGTCTAGCAACAACACAACTCACCAGCCCCATGAAGTCTAGCAACAACACAACTCACCAGCCCCATGAAGTCTAGAACCAACACAACTCACCAGCCCCATGAAGTCTAGAACCAACACAACTCACCAGCCCCATGAAGTCGGACATAAGCATCACGAGGAGGAACAAGGCCCGGACTGGGATCCTGGTCACTACGTGGACTGCCTGGAACGCACACGTCACCAGCATAAAGGGGATCACATTCTGCAGACAAAAAAATCACTGATCTTTGTGTAGGAGGTTTGGGGTACACCTTTTATGAATATGTATCAATAAATATCTTTATCCCACCTCATGTAAGAATATCCATCTGATTGGTTCACATGACCTTGAACAAACTACCATGTATGCCTGGTGCACGGCCGTACACCGCCTAAGCGATGGAGAACATATCATTCATATCCCGCCCCATGGAAAAAGCATCCATCCACGGCAGTCACTCAGCCATGAACCAGTGGTTCAGATCGACTAGTCAGTACCATGGTAGTAAAATATATGACTGAATTTCAGTTTGTTTTAATGCTATATTTACATAATGAGAAATTTAAACATTTGGTAAGATAAATTCGCTGTAGCATTGTGATTCAGCGTATACAGGGTTTTATCCGTCACTTGTTAGATTTTATCCACCTAACACGGGATGCATAAAACCCTGTATACCCTCCTCACAGTGCTACAACTTATAATATTACCCGTAAAGACAAAAATAATCAAGTCCATAACAATCACATAAGCAATGGTGCAAATATCACTTCACACCATCCAGTGTATTGTTCTCGCCATCAATACAAGTTTTCTATGATGCCAAATTTAAGATTTTCTAAGGATAATTACGATTAATCTAAGGCAGAAAACAAACGACGGTGTCGGTGACCTAAATTAAGAATCCTCACACAGGGCTAACTGACATGCTGTTCTATTGACCTGTCTGCCCCCCTACATATCAGAAAAACAAATGATAAACAGTTTGATGACGGTTTACTTTCGGGTTAAATATCTTCTCTAAATTATCTTAATTAATCTGTTCTTAACGTAAACCATATGGGGCAATATGAACATCGCATTTCTACTATCAACGTATGTTTAGATCTGTACATCCAGATGAAGCTGACCAGTCAAGCAACATTCCACGATTGCATTGTGGGAATGTAAACATTGCGAACGTTACCATGTCGCTGCAAAATTGTGAGTCGAACTGAGACATTTTATCCGTCGGAAAACATAAACGTAATGTTTCCACCAGTGATGTTAGCTGAGTGAAGCAACTGCAAACCAAGAAACATGATGCAATGGAGTAGTTTACTGTACAAGGCTGTACCAGGCGATGACAACCAACATGCATCTTGACGTTGCTTACATTGTGTAATGCAAAATTGTTTGATTACGAGGGGGCAGACTAGAATGGTGCAGTGACGCCAATACATTGTGACGTAATGCAAGAAGTGCTCATTATCGTGTGATAAAGTACTGTTGGCGCTTTTGATCTTTCACCAAAGCATCTTAGAAATATCTATATTTATCTTTAATGTATTAATATAGACAGGACCTAATACTAAACAAGCAAGATGACTTGTAGAGTGGTGGTGCTTCCACCCTTCAAACCCTTCAATATGACAGTAATTGTGTACTGGACTACATGATGTGCAATACACCAACCTTCAACATCATCAGAGCTCCCATGACAAAAGGGTTGAAGACAGTCAGGAAGCAGTACACGGAGGCAGGGTCAAAACTGGAACAACACAGGAAAAGCTCACTCACCTTGACAATGTCAACCAACTTCTTTAAGAGGCATTTAGTAAATAGTTTACATCATTTGTTACTGTGTATTGTACACCAAGCTGTCACTAGGCACAGTGTACGAGCTCATCATGGAGGCCATCATGGCCAGTGACACAGACATGTCAACATGTCAGAACATCCCACACCACAGGGAGAGTCCCCCCATAGTCTTCATGCACCACTGCCACATATCACAGCCTCAGTACATCAATGTGGAGGCTACATAGAGAACTGGATTTAGTTGGGGGTCAGTGCTGCTTGTTATTGGTGATGGTGGTGCTAGGGGGCAGTGACTGTACTCCCCTTCCTGTGGCCGTATGCATATGTCGGGCGTGAATTCTAGTCCTGGCGTAAGTAAAATGTGCGTCTGGGCATAACGTTAAACCGGTGTAGCAGGACATGAACTCCCCAGTCTAAACTTTCCCTGGGGAGAATCTGGCCTAGGCCAAACTTTCCTCGGGGAGGTTTTGTCCTAGGATATTCTTACCCCAGTGAAAGTTTGGGCTAGGCCAAACTTTCCCTCCTGTTTAAACAAGGATATTTTGTTCTGTTGTCTATGAAAAGTGGGGATATTCTGGCCTTGCTAGGCCACTTCTTCCCCCACCCTTGTTCTCATCTCAAAAGGGGGAGATTCTGGCCTACCTAGGCTACTTCTTCCCCACCCTTGCTCTTATAAACCGACAGTAGGTTTGACTTATATTTTGGTACACATTTTTGCTAAATAGTCCATTTTTGCCTCTGACTTGGGTGTAGTAATTTGAATGCATACGTTTGAGCGGCATATATCCCTAAATCCATCCTGCTCCTGCCGCCATTCCTTTGAAGACACATTGCATTAGTTCTTCATCTGTCCACCATAAGACGTAAACATTCAATCGTACATTTGATGGGTAAATAAGATGTAATATACACAGGTTGCTTGCTCTCTTATGCTGTTTCGAATATAGTAATGATTTTGACATAAGCCAATTTTGAGTAAGCGGGGATAAGTAAATTATTGAAATATAAAAATAAGTAAATGATAATGTAAAACAATAGTAATGATATAATATCTTTGCTTTTATGCATGCTTTTCTTTTTAATCTCTTTTATTGAAACAAAATGGGAACTATGTACATGTTATATATGAAGATGACCTGTAAATTGTTAATGGAACTTGACATCAACAGGAATATCTTATCAATGTGTTGACGTGAATAACTATGTCTTGTTTTCATTTCTGACTTTTTCAAGACGAACATATACATGAAAACAAGGTTGGGGAAGAAATAGCCTAGTTAGGCCAGAATCTCACCCTTTTTTTTTTTTTAATCTCCCCCTTTTGATATAAGAACAAGGATGGGAAACAAGTAGCCTTTAAAGTTGATTCAAGGGTGGGGAAAGTTTGGCCTAGGACAAACTTTCCCCGGGGAAGATTAAGCCTAGGGGGGTAAAGTTTGGCCTAGGCTAAAGTTTCCCCGGGGAAGGTTTGGCCAGGGGTAAAGCTTCGCCTGTTACACTGGTATGCATATCTTAGACGTAGCTAAAAGTAACACCAGGCGTAGGGCTCTAGATTTACGCCACCTACCCAGCAGGCATAAGCCAGACGTAGCCCCGTAATGGCGGCACTTGTATACTGATATCGCGGAAGACAGTTCTACAGAAACCGTATTTTTAGAGAAAGGTCAAACCCTTTAGAAATATACGACGATGTTGATCTGTTTAGAAGATTTAGATTCAGGAGATCTGACATTTTCAAGATAGTGGATCCAATCAGAGGTGATAATGATTATGGCTCGTACCCCAGTTCCACCCGTATCCCGGAAGTGCAGGTACTTGTAGCCTAATGTTTAATGCTACAGGCTCCCTTCACATTGTAGCGGGGGATCCTGTCGATGTTCATCAGTTTGGAGCTGAGAAGATCCTCATTATCTCCGTACAGCTCCAAAACACATTATTTCTCCATCGGTAAAGTTTGGTTTTCTCGGCTTTCTTTGGCTTTCCATGATTACAGCTGAAATGGATGTGCCGCGAAGTTGTTTCATGCCTTTCCTCAGTGTTTTAAAAACATTCGAAAATTAAAAAATAGCACACTGCGCCTTGACTTAAATCCGTTTAGTCAGACTAGTAACTCCTAGGCTTGACGACGTTGTGCATGGCGTGTAAGAGCAGAGGCTACTAGGCCAGTGAGTGTGTTCCTCCTGGCCGATAACTCGCTGGTGGGCATCACGGATACTGGTGTCCCCCTCCGCCATGTGAGTCTGGTGCCCGGACAACCTACCTGTTAATGCTTGCTATATTGCCTGTACCAAAGAATGCTGTCAGTTAATGAGGGAAGACCTGTCACGGAGTCAAGGAACCAACAAATACTTCTGAAAATCATCCCAAGTGGAGTGACTGGATTACTGCAGCCAGGAATATTCCAGCTATGTCAAAGCAGTATTCCACCCATATCGCATAAATGTTCCAGTAATATCATTCCATTATTCAGTAATATCCACCAGCATTATTCCAGTAATATCCCAGCATTATTCCAGTAATATCGGCATTATTCCAGTCCCCAGGAATATCGAGCAATATTCCAGTGATATCCAGCATTATTCCAGTAATATCCCAACATTATTCCAGTAATATCCCAGTGGTATCGAGCAATATTCCAGTAATATCCCAGCATTATTCCAGTAATATCAGCATTATTCGGTAAGATATATCCAGCATTATTCCAGTAATATTCAGCAATATTCCGGTAATATCCGAGCAATATTCAGTGAAATATCAGCAATATTCAGTAATATCCCAGCATTATTCCAGTAATATCCAGCATTATTCAGAAAGTAATATCCAGCATTATTCCAGTAATATCGAGCAATATTCCAGTAATATCCCAGCAATATTCCGGTAATGTCCCCAGCAATATTCCAGTAATATCAGCATTATTCAGCTAATGTTCAGCATTATTCAGTAATATATCAAGTAATATCCAGCAACATTCCAGTAATGTCCCCAGCAATATTCCCAAGTAATATCAGCAATATTCCAGTAATATTCCGGCAATATTCAGTAATATCCAGCCGATGTTCCAGTAATATCCAGCATTATTCAGTAATATCCAGCACTATTCCAGTAATATCAGCATTATTCAGTAATATCAGCATTGTTCCAGTAATATCAGTAATATCCAGCATTATTCAGTAATATTCCAGCATTATTCCAGTAATATTCCAGCATTATTCAGTAATGTTCAGTAATATCAGCATTATCCAGCCAGTATGCCGGCATTATTCAGTAATATCCCGGCAATATTCCAGTAATATCAAAGCATTATTACGGTAATATCCAGCATTATTCAGTAGTATTCCAGCAATATTCCAGTAATATCCCAGCAATATTCAGTAATATCAGCAATATTCAGTAATATCCAGCAATATTCCAGCAATATTCTGGCATTATTCAGTAATATCCCAGCATGTATTTGGTAATGTTCCAGCATTATTCCAGCAATATTCAGTAATATTCCAGCAATGTTCAGTAATATCCAGCATTATTCAGTAATGTTCAGCATTATTCCAGTAATATTCAGTAATATTCAGCATTATTCCAGCAATATTCCAGTAATATCCCAGCAATATTCCAGTAATATCCCAGCAATATTCCAGTAATATGCCAGCATTATTCCAGTAATATCCCAGCAATATTCCAGTAATATCCCAGCATTATTCCAGTAATATTCCAGCAATATTCCAGTAATATCCCAGCAATATTCCAGTAATATCCCAGCAATATTCCAGTAATATCCCAGCAATATTCCAGTAATATTCCAGCGGTATAACAGCAAAATGTAAAATTGAGCGAAGATCAGGCAGACATGTGACTGGCAACATCAACATGACATTTATCAAGACAAATCATCACACCAGAACACCCTGTTTGTTTTATATCTGGCCATTCCATTTAAAACTGTATTCAATCAGCAGCCATAGACAAGTGCTCCTCAATAAATTCACTTCTTCGACAGCTCTTCAGACCCATCCTTTCATCTCCATTCTAACATGTCTGGCTGGTGTGGAAACAGCTTCAGCTACTACAGGTTGTATATATCAAGATAATTCAGACAACAGTTATCCGTAGCAAGGATACAAAGTAGAAGGCTCGTCTGAGGTCTGCCAGCTGCAGCCATCTTGAATCAGGTGAGCTGTCGCGGTGAGACTTGAGGTAGTTGTTGGCAGTGAAGTCGGTGTGGGATAACAACTGTAAACACAAGCACGTTTATTTAACTGCAGTCACAAATATTCCGCCGATATGACAGCAGGTGTCTTTCAAGATCAAATCTGGTACCCTATCCACACCACCCGTAAGACAGTGATAAAGTAAAGTGTTACAATAGGTCACTTTGTGGAGTGGGACCCTGGACCACACAAACCAGTGACTGACATCATGAGCATCAATCTATACAATTGGGGTACAATGACATGCATCAAACAAGTCCAGTCCCACTCTGTGCTGTGGTGGTGGCTACACCCAACTTCCTCCGTCCCCTGCTCCCCCTTGTGTCCCACCCTGAGATGCAGTGACTGTCCCAACCCTGAGATGCAGTGACTGTCCCCACCCTGAGATGCAGTGACTGCCCCACCCTCCCCATGTGAGTCCCACGCTGAGATGCAGTGACTGCCCCACCCTCCCCATGTGAGTCCCATGTTGAGATGCAGTGACTGCCCCACCCTCCCCATGTGAGTCCCATGTTGAGATGCAGTGACTGTCCCAACCCTGAGATGCAGTGACTGCCCCACCCTCCCCATGTGAGTCTCACCCTGAGATGCAGTGACTGTCCCCACCCTCCCCATGTGAATCTCACCCTGAGATGCAGTGACTGTCCCCACCCTCCCAATGTGAGTCCAACCCTGAGAAGCAGTGACTGTCCCCACCCTGAGATGCAGTGACTGTCCCCACCCTCCCCATGTGAGTCCCATGTTGAGATACAGTGACTGTCCCCACCCTACTCATGTGAGTCCCATCCTGAGATGCAGTGACTGCCCCCCCCCTCCCATGTGGAGTCCCACCCTGAGATGCAGTGACTGCCCCCCCTCCCCATGTGAGATCTCACCCTGAGATGCAGTGACTGTCCCCACCCTCCCAATGTGGAGTCCCACCCTGAGAAGCAGTGACTGTCCCCACCCTCAGATGCAGTGACTGTCCCCACCCTCAGATGCAGTGACTGTCCCCACCCTCCCCCCATGTGAGTCCCATGTTGAGATACAGTGACTGTCCCCACCCTAATCACGTGAGTCCCACCCTGAGATGCAGTGACTGTCCCCACCCTACTCATGTGGAGTCCCACCCTGAGAAGCAGTGACTGTCCCAACCCTGAGATGCAGTGACTGTCCCCACCCTCCCCATGTGAGTCCCATGTTGAGATGCAGTGACTGTCCCAACCCTGAGATGCAGTGACTGTCCCCACCCTCCCCATGTGAGTCCCATGTTGAGATGCAGTGACTGTCCCAACCCTGAGATGCAGTGACTGTCCCCATCCTCCCCATGTGAGTCCAATGTTGAGATGCAGTGACTGTCCCCACCCTACTCATGTGAGTCCCACCCTGAGATGCAGTGACTGTCCCCACCCTACTCATGTGAGTCCCCTGAGAAGCAGTGACTGTCCCCACCCTACTCATGTGAGTCCCACCCTGAGATGCAGTGACTGTCCCCACCCTACTCATGTGAGTCCCACCCTGAGGTGCAGTGACTGTACCCACCTTCCTGGAGCGCTCCTCCGTCAAGTTGTGCTCCATGTGGAGCCAAAAGTACAGGAGACTCAGCAGCACCAGAAGGAACATACTTTCGTAACTGACCAAGGTCAAGGAAATGTCATATCATGTAACAAAGTTTGATAGATAGAGTGATAACTTCAGGGTGAGTAAGTACAACTCATATAACAACATTTGTGTTACAGCCTTAGTCAGGCAGGAATGTCCGGTGTTCAAGGATACGTGATGCTCACGAGGAGGTAGGGGCCGATGAAGGTGAGCCCGACGCTGGCCAGTCTCTCAGGTAGGTTGGTGCTGGTCAGCAGTGGCCAGATTGGACTCAAACCTGAAATAATCCATGTAGTCTATCAGGGCATGCTCCCCCAAAACCCAGGAATTTACCCAGAATTAACAGTCTTTGGAGGACATTGGAGAATACTGGTGACGTGTGCACTCACCCAGCATGGCCCAGCTGATGATATGATTGTAGGTGGGGACCCCCTGCCGCTGCTTGATGCCGTCCGATGTCGACTTCACCAATCCCACTGCTGCTAGGATCATCACAAGCTGAAACAACAGCAAATACTGACAAATTTTACATTAAATTCAGAGCAACTAAAAATCGGCTTTGGTATAACCCATTCTGAAACAATAGTATTAATACAAACTCTCTCCAGCAAACCCAAGGGCCATACTTCCCTTGAACCATAAGAACTAACACTTCCCCACAACTACAAGGGCCAATATGCCCCTCATACCCCAAGGGATAACCCCATGGCCAACATTCCCCCAAACCCAGTCTGATACTGGCCAGCTGTTCTGCACAACCCCACAGGCCAACGCTCCCCAGTAAAGGGACAACACTCCCAATTATAGTTTGGCATGAAATGCATGTAGACCCTCCCTCTGCAAACAGTCTGCGTTCTGCTGTTTATTTTGTTGACAATTACATAGACAGATTCTTTAATACAAATGCATAAAATCGGTGATTTACAATGCGATTAGGTTGTCTGACACAACATCCACTTGCACAGTTTGAGATCCATTGGGTCTGGGTCCACATGCATTTCATGCCAAACTATAACCTGCAGTCCAGTTCTTCCTCAGACCCCAAAGAACAGCACTTTACCCTCAACCCATGGGCCAGTTCTCCCAAGTGCCCCGACAAAACTCCCCTAGAACCCGTGGGACATACCTGTATGCCCATGATGACCCCTGACATTCTGTTGTTGTTCTTGTCCCTGCTGGTCAAGACACCCAGTCTGAAAACCAAACAGGCCATGTTATGTCCTCCATGTTATGTCCTCCATGTTATGTCCTCCACACACCATACAATAACTCTTACACTACAACAGTAGTAAAATAACAAGTAACATTTAGAAGGTGCTGATCTATCTGTATTCCGGTTTTCACCATCGTCACACTGCTGACCATACTTCCACAGAATAACTCACGAAAGTTTTCATTAATAAATCAACTACAGGCATGTACCCAACTAGTCAACTCCTCAATGACAAAAGGTCCAAGAGAAAGCCATGAAACAGATCAAATTATTTTTGACATTAAGATGAAGATGTTTAACAGCTGTCTGCCAGCACTTACTGATACACCATGACTGCACCCAGCAGGAAGGCCAGCAGCCCTGAGATGAGGCTACAACACACACAGGATATACATTCAGTAACAACATGTCACATGATATACATTCGGTAACAACATGTCACATGATATACATTCAATAACAACATGTCACATGATATACATTCAATAACATGTCACATGATATACATTCAATAACAACATGTCACATTATATACATTCAATAACATGTCACATGATATACATTCAATAACAACATGTCACATGATATACATCCAATAACATGTCACATGATATACATTCAATAACAACATGTCACATGATATACATCCAATAACATGTCACATGATATACATTCAATAACAACATGTCACATGATATATAGTACTATTGTTTCCATGAATCACTTTCAACGATGGGTGGGTGAGAAACATTGCAGGCTATATATTTATTTTATATATTTATTTATACATTCAGTTCAAGTGATTTTATTCAATATAGTTATTTTGATGTTGTTTAAGACCACATACTTAGTTACTTACAACGTAATAATGGCATCTGAGTACTCAAGCCTAAACAAGACAAGTGACTGATATCATGAGCATCAATCAGCACTGACTGAGCTCCCAGTCCACTAGTACGAGACAAATTTTAACCTCAAATTCCCACTGGGGATTTCATTTAACATGCAGAATGAATGTCATATAAATATATATACTTCATATATTGGTGAGGTGTAAATGCTACTTCAGTTGATCTAAGTAACCTGGTGCTACTCACACAAGACTATAGTTGGCGTTCCGGCCAACGACAGGGAGAAGAGGAAACACTGCCAACAGCACACAGCTTAGCAGCCAGCCGTAGGCTGAAAACTGAAACATATCACACACACAGCTTAGCAACCAGCAATAGGCTGAAAACTGAAACATATCACACACACAGCTTACCAACCAGCCGTAGGCCGAAAACTGAAACATATCACACACACACAGCTTAGCAACCTAGGAGATATCGTTTTGACAGTAGATTTTGTACAATGCCCTGATGTCACAATGCTACGACATAGCTAGACACTTGGGTGAGATTCTCTTTGTAATTTTGACTAAAGTATTTAACTGAACCCATGCAGCATTCACCACACTTCCTTGACATCACTCACCTTGGAAGTGTTGAAGACCCCCGATGTCACTGACCAGAGAGCAATACAGACAAGTCCGATAGACAGCAGCTCCCTCTGGAAGAAGCCTTGGACCTGTCCAATGGAATGGAGACTAGAACACTGAGACAACTTGTATTCCTGAGGGTGTCATTGCACATGTATTTCTCAGTCATAAAAAGTTGCTGATACAATATACAAATCATACAACTCATAGGTGATACAACATTACCTTTTGACAATCTCCATGCATCGTATGACATGACACCCGGTAACATTTACACAATATATTCTTCACCACTATTTCTCTAACACTACACAATATATTCCTCACCACTATCTCTGTAACACCACACAATGTATTCCTCACCACTATCTCTGTAATACTACACAATGTATTCCTCACCACTATCTCTGTAACACTACACAATATATTCCTCACCACTATCTGTGCAAAACTACACAATGTATTCCTCACCACTATCTCTGTAAAACTACACAATGTATTCCTCACCACTATCTGTGCAAAACTACACAATGTATTCCTCACCACTATCTCTGTAAAACTACACAATGTATTCCTCACCACTATCTCTGTAAAACTACACAATGTATTCCTCACCACTATCTCTGTAACACTACACAATGTATTCCTCAGCACTATCTGTGCAAAACTACACAATGTATTCCTCACCACTATCTCTGTAAAACTACACAATGTATTCCTCACCACTATCTCTGTAACACTACACAATGTATTCCTCACCACTATCTCTGTAAAACTACACAATGTATTCCTCACCACTATCTGTGCAAAACTACACAATGTATTCCTCACCACTATCTCTGTAACACTACACAATGTATTCCTCACCACTATCTGTGCAAAACTACACAATGTATTCCTCACCACTATCTCTGTAAAACTACACAATGTATTCCTCACCACTATCTCTGTAAAACTACACAATGTATTCCTCACCACTATCTCTGTAACACTACACAATGTATTCCTCACCACTATCTGTGCAAAACTACACAATGTATTCCTCACCACTATCTCTGTAACACTACACAATGTATTCCTCACCACTATCTCTGTAACACTACACAATGTATTCCTCACCACTATCTCTGTAAAACTACACAATGTATTCCTCACCACTATCTGTGCAAAACTACACAATGTATTCCTCACCACTATCTCTGTAAAACTACACAATGTATTCCTCACCACTATCTCTGTAACACCCCACAATGTATTCCTCACCACTATCTCTGTAACACTACACAATGTATTCCTCACCACTATCTGTGCAAAACTACACAATGTATTCCTCACCACTATCTCTGTAACACTACACAATGTATTCCTCACCACTATCTGTGCAAAACTACACAATGTATTCCTCACCACTATCTCTGTAAAACTACACAATGTATTCCTCACCACTATCTCTGTAACACTACACAATGTATTCCTCACCACTATCTCTGTAACACCCCACAATGTATTCCTCACCACTATCTGTGCAAAACTACACAATGTATTCCTCACCACTATCTCTGTAAAACTACACAATGTATTCCTCACCACTATCTCTGTAACACCCCACAATGTATTCCTCACCACTATCTCTGTAACACCCCACAATGTATTCCTCACCACTATCTCTGTAACACTACACAATGTATTCCTCACCACTATCTCTGTAAAACTACACAATGTATTCCTCACCACTATCTCTGTAAAACTACACAATGTATTCCTCACCACTATCTCTGTAACACCCCCCAAATGTATTCCTCACCACTATCTCTGTAAAACTACACAATGTATTCCTCACCACTATCTCTGTAACACTACACAATGTATTCCTCACCACTATCTGTGCAAAACTACACAATGTATTCCTCACCACTATCTCTGTAACACTACACAATGTATTCCTCACCACTATCTCTGTAACACTCCTCACACAATGTATTCCTCACCACTATCTCTGTAACACTACACAATGTATTCCTCACCACTATCTGTAAAACTACACAATGTATTCCTCACCACTATCTCTGTAACACTACACAATGTATTCCTCACCACTATCTCTGTAACACTACACAATGTATTCCTCACCACTATCTCTGTAAAACTACACAATGTATTCCTCACCACTATCTCTGTAACACTACACAATGTATTCCTCACCACTATCTGTGCAAAACTACACAATGTATTCCTCACCACTATCTCTGTAACACTACACAATGTATTCCTCACCACTATCTGTGTAAAACTACACAATGTATTCCTCACCACTATCTCTGTAAAACTACACAATGTATTCCTCACCACTATCTCTGTAACACTACACAATGTATTCCTCACCACTATCTGTGCAAAACTACACAATGTATTCCTCACCACTATCTCTGTAAAACTACACAATGTATTCATCACCACTATCTCTGTAACACCCCACAATGTATTCCTCACCACTATCTCTGTAACACCCCACAATGTATTCCTCACCACTATCTCTGTAACACTACACAATGTATTCCTCACCACTATCTGTGCAAAACTACACAATGTATTCCTCACCACTATCTCTGTAAAACTACACAATGTATTCCTCACCACTATCTCTGTAACACTACACAATGTATTCCTCACCACTATCTCTGTAACACTACACAATGTATTCCTCACCACTATCTCTGTAACACCACACAATGTATTCCTCACCACTATCTCTGTAACACTACACAATGTATTCCTCACCACTATCTCTGTAACACCACACAATGTATTCCTCACCACTATCTGTGCAAAACTACACAATGTATTCCTCACCACTATCTCTGTAATACCACACAATGTATTCCTCACCACTATCTCTGTAACACCACACAATGTATTCCTCACCACTATCTCTGTAACACCACACAATGTATTCCTCACCACTATCTCTGTAACACCACACAATGTATTCCTCACCACTATCTCTGTAACACCACACAATATATTCCTCACCACTATCTCTGTAACACCACACAATATATTCCTCACCACTATCTCTGTAACACCCCACAATGTATTCCTCACCACTATCTCTGTAACACTACACAATGTATTCCTCACCACTATCTCTGTAACACCACACAATATATTCCCCACCACTATCTCTGTAACACTACACAGTGTATTCCTCACCACTATCTCTGTAACACTACACAATGTATTCCTCACCACTATCTCTGTAACACCACACAATATATTCCACACCACTATCTCTGTAACACTACACAATGTATTCCTCACCACTATCTCCAGTCCCAGCATGCTGCAGGCAACAGAGGCTGTGACAGTGAGGACATGCTTGTTATTGTAACACACAGACACTGCTCGTTTCAGGACCTGCAATCTGTAAAACATTCCTCCATTATTATTTTATGAAATGAAATCACTTGCTGCTGTGCATCAATTAGTCCTCAGATAACACCCAACATGCAACTAGCCCTGAAAAAGTCCAGGACACAACAACATGTTCGGTCATACTAGTCTGCTCACCAGGGTGGGGAAAAGCTGAAACATTTACCTGACTTCAGCTTCTACAACTTTGGCCCACAAGGGTACAGGGAGCAAGCAGTACAGGTAGTAGGTGACGGGGGATGACTGGACTGAAACAACATCATCTCAAGTTCTTAACATCATCATCATCATCATCATCATCATCATCATCATCATCATCATCATCTCTGTGGTCATATAACAAAGCCGTTGTCTCCATTCAAACATACACTTCAATCAGGTAGTAATACACATTTACAGCCAAGCCATCATGCTTGCTGACATCATATCCCATAATTTTTTAAAGGGGCATAACTCTGGAAGGAAACTAATGATACAACATTTATAATAACAGTAAATGCCACAATCACAAATGCTTTAACAATAAATAAAACAACAACAGAATTCCACTTACTGAACAAGAGTAAGCTGACAATGGAGGCCAGGGCAGCTGCTGCCATGTTGATGTAGCGAAGAGGGGAGGTAACTCTGTTTGACCTGCCGGCACAGAACCCGGTGTGGTTGTGGAGCACCTGCTGCAGGATGTACACCATCCACCCCAGGAAGCTGAGCACTATACTGATCCTGATGTGGTAGACAGAGAGTGGTGAAACACATGCAGTTCCTCGGTGAGTAGTGAGGCCAAGACATTGGAACTAACACTCCTGAGTGCATTACAAAACAATTGTTTGACACTAATATGGCAATGTTCCCCCGCCACTAAAGAAGAATGAAATATTTATAACATATTTACTCATTTTTATTTTTTGGTCACATACAAGATGCCTGAAATGACTGGTGTCTGCATAATCACTCAATGAAGGCTGTCGACATACTTGAAGACATTAGGTGCAATGTTTTATGAGACATCACGTTTACATAAGTTTGAAAAGTATCGTGGTGACGTTAAAAATAAGGTCAAAGTCACCCAAATCGACTGGTGTCTGCGTAAATCCCCATGAAGGCTGTGACCAAATTTGAAGACATTGGGTACAACTGTTCATGAGATATCGCGTTAACAAGAATTGGGATGCTGCTGAATACATAGCTCCCCCGTTCCATGTTGCGGCGGGGAACAAAAACAAAAACAAATCTCACCCCAGGAACAGTCTGTCATACTTCTGGTAATAGTTCAGTCCTTTCAGAGCCACATTCATCAACTCCCCGACTTTCAGATATCTACAACATGCAAATACAATAAACATGTCATCAAACCAAGACTCAGATGTTCTGTGTGTGGTACTTTGAACCACACTCTACAGGGATCGATCCAAGTCAATGACACGCAATTGACCAGTTCACTTAGTCTGACCACCCTTAATATCAAGTCACCTCTTACAATAAGCCAGGGTTTCCGAGGACCTCTTTATTGCAGCCCAGAATAACTGTGTCTGTAGATATTCCCAGTTTATGACATCTAGTTTACGTGATGATAATTTTCCAGACACCAAAGAATTTCAAACTTACTGCCTCTGCATAGTTTCCCGACTTGATCAGCTGCCGGGTGTGTCGGATGAAGTCAGCCTGGAAATAAATACAAATATTCATGTTTGGGTCAAAGGAGTGAGTGAGTTTAGTTTTACTCCACTTTTAGCAATAATCCAGCAATATCACGTCGGTGGACACAAGAAATGGGCTTCACGTGCTCCTGTGGGGAATCGAACCCGGGTCTTTGGTGTGACGAATGAACACCTTAACCACTAGGCCACCCCACCAGCTGCAGGATAGATGGATCACATTAATTGATGTACTTCACTAACAACATGTTTTCAATGAAATACACAATGCCATTTTAGAAAGTGGTCAAATGTAACATGTTATATTTGGGATTACACTTCCTTGAATCTCGGATGGGACTCAAACCAAAAAAAGTACTAGAATCTGTACTTTACTGAGAAAGTGTAATCCCAAATATAACATATGTTACATTTGACCACTTTCTAAAATGGCAGTGTGTATTTCATAGCTTTCGGCCATGGGAGCCGTGCCAATTAACACTTATCAGAGGGGTACACAAAGTCCTCAGTCTAGACTAGGTGTGGGTTAGAATCTCGGATGGGACTCAACCCAAGAAAGTACTAGAATCTCTACTTTACTGAGAAAGTGTAATCCCAAATATAACATATGTCACAACATGTTTTCAGCTATATATCTCCACAAATGGAACACTTTGAAGTAAGGGCTTTCAATGACAAGTAACTACTAAGTTAATCATCTGATGGTCATAATGTCTTATGTAAATGTAAAAATTATTATCTATAAAGTAAGATTATATTTAGAAACTGTCGTTCTTTCAGAAGTATCACTGTTGATGTATTGGATCAGGCACATCAGTGGCTAACAGCAAGAGTAAGAATCAACAAATTCCAAACATGTACAAGCTTTCCGCCACCCACAGTTCAATCATAAATATACATGTCACTAATGGAAAACAGTACAGTTCATTTGTTTTGTAAATTAATTACTAGTTTCTGCGATCAATCTAGAAATTTCTTTCTTACCCACTGTTTATGAAACCTTTCCATCTTGGACGGAACTAAGGATCAAATTATATATTTTGAGAATAGTTTGTATTTTTAGCCCATCAAAGATAACGAAATTCAAGCTAATCCATGCTGGACAGAAAGTTTATACAAACTGAAGAGATGAGTGAAGATTCAGCTTGTACCCAGAATGTCCACCAGGAATTGGGACATGATCACACACACATTGGTCCCTAAACTCGACAGAACCAGTCATCATCTACAAGTATGAATTCGAACAAACCTGCAGAGGCTGCTGATTCTTTGATGAGAGTCCTCCTTGGGGTACATATATGCATAACAATGTCCATTTGTAATCCGTACGACAGTTGTAACTATATTTTGAATAAAATATTTACAAAACAAAAACGTTTTTGTCTTGTCGACCACCCCTACAGAACCCAGAATGGACCCGTCCGCCAAGAACAGGTAACTCTAGGCGCTAACCTCGTACCTCACTTTCCATGCTGAAGAAATACAGACAGAATGTGGGGAGGTGGGTGGCCATACCCCAAGGAGGACTCTCCTCAAAGAATCAGCAACCTCTACAGGTTTGTTGGGTTTTTTTCCATGAGAGATCCTCCTTGGGGTACATATAACCATAAGACAGACTCCTAAAGACAAGAGCCCTGGGAGTGGCATTCTGTCTGATAAACTAAGACCCCGACAAGTAGAATTTCCCAACTATAAAAAGAAGAAGGAACAGCTCACTTACCTGGCCACTTGACCTCTTTAGCCAATCAGGCGAGGGCGTGGTCCAGGGTCAGGGGTTATCTATTCTGCTCATATGCAAATGAAGCGGTGAACTACACATGTAGTAAACAATAGTGCCCCATCCCCATCCCCATCCCCATCCCCATCCCCACCCCCAAGTACCTAGGGAGGGAGTGACATAAAATCCCATGAAACCTCAGCCAAGCCTAGGTTTCTAAGGAATAATGTTATATATTGTCATAAGGGGAGAACAAACCATCACCATAAAACCCCAACACCAAGTAAGGGTAAAAGGGGAGGAAAGTTGACTGCAAACCTGCCACCAGTAAAATACAGATACAATCGTAATTCTAATGCCGGATAAACGTACTCGGCTGGCTCCAAATAGCCACGGAGCAGATCTCCTCAATAGACAGAGCCACAGCATAAACCTAAGATGTAGCTATACGAAACGCTGACATAGCAGTTGAGTAACCTCGATCAATTGAGGCGGCTAGCCCTGCTTCCAACCGAGACTGGAGAAACTCAAGCACCATGACTAGATCTGCGGAAAAGGGATTGACAAATCCCCTGCCGACACACCAGCACATATAGCAGGCCCATCTATCCTCATATTGAATGTTTGTCGAATTCCTCCGGGGAAGCCAGAATTGTGTTTGCAACTGATGCAGGATTTCCGCTTGCATGGAGGCGATTCCAGACAGTGGCCATGCAACCCACTGAATCCTGGGATTCGGGTGCGGCGCTCAATTCTGGGATAGGAGGTCCAGTCAAAAAGGTAATAGTACAGGAGGCTGAGCCAGAAACCTGATGATTACCGGAAACCACCTTTGAGCCGACCAATGACGTGCAAGGAGCACTAACAGTCGAGCTGGTTGGTGGCCAACTGCGATAGGACCTTGGATATCAGTGGTATCGGTGAGAACGCCCACAGTACCCTGTCCATCAAATACCCTGTCCGTCAGATCGGTATCCAGGAGCAAAACACTGGTATCTGGTTCGTCGCCCCAGAGGCAAACAGATCCACCTGGAACGACCCGTACCACTGGGAGATAATCCTGAATATCCCCCGGTCTAGCATCTACTCGTGTGGAGCTAGTATACGACGGGTCAGCGCGTCTGCCCAAACATTGTCTATCCCCAAAGATAGACTGGCATCACCCATATGTTGTACTGGTCGCACCATAGCAGAAACTGCCACAACTGCTGTAGCAGGGACACTGATACCGTGCCGCCTTGCTTTAGGATATAGGTCATGGCTGTCTGGTTGTCCACCTCTAGACGAACCACTTGGCCACGAACCTGATCCACAAAGCTCTCGACCACCTGTCATACTGCTCTCAATTCTAGCACATTGATATGCAGACTGATCTCGTGCTCCGCCCAAAGGCCCGAGACTGACCTGTCGCTCAGAACACCCACCAACCTGAGAGGGAGGCGTCTGTCTGAATCGAGAGCATGGGCGTCAGGGACTCAACAGGAACACCCGTGGATAAGTCAATGGCGTCTGTCCACCACCGCAAGTGAGGGTTGACCAATCGGAGCTCACAGGAACTTTCTCGTATGATGTTTTTCAGTGGCTTGAACTTTCTCGTAGCTCTCCAAATGGGACCACAGCTGAGCCAGTGCCTACTGTGTAGGTCTCATCCTCAGACATGCATGCCACACCACATCCACAGTTGCCTAGCAACTGGAGACACGCCCAAGCTGAATCCGTGGGAGTCCCAAGAATCTGTAAAACAGTTCTCTGAACTTTGGCAATACGGACCTCAGCACGGACAATGTCAGCCTTTTCCCGGGAGGTGGGCACAGGAGTGTGCCGCACCCCAGTGAATGGTGGCGGACCTCGCTTCCACTGTGGCATATGGCCATCCCTGAGTGTGGATAGGACCCAGGGATTTGTGGCTTTCAGCCATTCCGGGAGGAAGAGCATAAGCCAGCCGCCTACAGGGACGTGTGGCATGAGGCAGTGCACTCCCACAGTCGGCAAGTCTCCCCTTGCGTGTGTGGGAGGGCGTCCAAGGGAGATCTAACGGGAAGCCGGGTGTGGCTCCCCCTTTCCCCAAAAAGGCTGCTGCGCAAGTAAAGCCTTTCCCTTGCCTCTTGTCCTCCTGCTCTTGTTAACCTGCAGTGGAGCAGTTCACTTTGCAGGCTCCTTTGCGGCGTGGAAGGATACGAAGCAGCAAGAGGCGCAGGCCGCTGGCGAGATGTGAGGGGTTGCTCTAGTAAGGGCTTGGAGTCCTTAAAAGTGCTTACCGCCTTGGCTCCTCGCGAACTACGTTCAGTGCCCCAGGGTAGAGGGTGGAACCCATAGTATAAGGCAGAGAAAGTAGTGCCTGCCGAGTGGCTGGCGAATAGCGCGCAAATGACAGCCACAAACGGTGCAGGCCCATGACAGCGCCCATCATCATGCTAGCACAACAGTGAATACTGTCACGTGCAAGATGTAAATGGATGTCTGTCCACTGCTTCACCAACGAGGGGGATGACGCATGATCCCCACTCACTCCCTGATCTACCAGTTTCCCCTGCAGTGCAGATAGGTATGCTGAGTAGACCACCACCTGCAGCTGCTGTGCCGCCATCCTATATCCTCTTCAAAAGAGCGATAGGCCGACTTCAGAGCTGGAGCATTGGGAGGGAATGGCAGCAGTCGCCGGCCCTGCCTAGCCGAAGCCAGGGAGGAAGAGGAACCACCAAGTGTGATAGATGTAAAGACGCATTCATCCACAACCGGCGGCTCAAACAGTGCCTCCTCTCTCAATGGGTACCACCTGCTAAGCTCTGGTAGGTCAAAACGTGAGTGTGTACCCGGGAGGAGAGGATTAATCACCTCGCCAACCGAACTCTCTGTGGGCAGCGTCGACACAGAACACAAAGGGCTCAAGGGAGAGATCTGAACCAGAGGGTTCGGATCGCCCTGTCCCCGAACCACGGGGCTGAAGCAACAAGGTAGGAACTGCCGAAGCAGGCCGCCCAGTCTGTCCAGCTGAGCCTCTGAGTGCCAAGGGACCTGGTTTCCCCGGTATGCTCAGGCGCCCATCGGTGGCAGACGAATCCTGCACCCTACCGGGTCAGCACTAGGAATAGCAGACAGACCATCCCCGGAGCCGAGACTCGGGGTAGGTTGCCCAGGGATAGGTGCGCTCACCCGGCCAGAGCCCAGGCCGCCACCGTCCCCAGCAGAGACACCTGGACCATGGAGATTTACTCGTTGCGGGCCGAGCTCCTAACGGAGCCCGGACATCGCACTTTCAATCATCGACTTCACATTAGTCATGTGATGCTGCATTTGTTGCTGAAATAAGGAAGCAATTGAATGAATATGTAAGGCAGCAGCAGGGGTACAGGGGGGTTGGAGGTGGAAGGAACAGGTGAAGATGCCTTCGAGACCCTAGCTTTCTTCACCCCTGGTGGCGTGGAGCTAGTGGAAGATTTCTTCTTCTGTGATCTCTTGGAATAGGGGTCCTGACCCCAGGTATCACCCCCGCCCGCATGAGTTTGGAAAAATACATAAAGTGTATGCGTCTCCTGTCCGCCATCTTGACAAGCACATGGCAAACTGAAAGGGACTAAGACGTAAGTTACAACAAATGATGAATGAAAACTTTTAAAAACATTTATCAATTATAGCCCATGGGAATAAGAGACAACCATACATACAGTAGCTGTTTCTGAAGAACACATCTTGAAGTCGTAAGGGAAGAAATTCAACTTGTAACACAGGCAGATGGACACATACGTCGATACTGAAGAACGACAGCATGGAAAGTGAGGTACGAAGTTAGCGTCTAGAATTACCTGTTCTTGGCGAACGGGTCCATTGTGGGTTCCGTAGGGGTGGTCAAACAAGACCAAAAGGTTGTTTTTGTTTTGTAAATATTTTATTCAAAATATAGTTACAACTGTCGTAGGGATTAAAAGTAGACATATTAATGCTTATATGTACCCCAAGGAGGATCTCTCATGAAAAAGAATTTGTCTCCCCTTGATGGAAAATATCAGCTTATAGAATCAATACTTACTTGCTTTGAGGGTGAAAGTTCACTGAAAACGAAGCATTTGATACATATTAAACATATGTGACAACATTGTCAAATCATATTTGGAAGACAGTTATGTTATCTTCAAATCGAAACAGATTTATTAACAGGTTTAAAACAGTTTTAAAAAAAAAACAGTCAAGGTTACCCAAAAGGTCGGAAGGCAGCTGAGACAGTCCTCTCTTTCACTTGCATCATCTTTACCTGTCAAATTAATTCATGAGTAGTTGAAACACAGAGAAAACCGTAAAACCGTGGAGACAGTATACTGGATCAACAATAAACACTCAGTGTTAAGGCTTTCATCTAAGGTATTACTATTGGCTGTGCAGAGTAGCGTCCAGGAAATAAAAGATCATGTTTCGAAATCCTGCATTGTCCGGACTGTGTTTCAGTTTTGTCAGCATCATACCAGTGCTTGTCGGGTTTTATTCAAGTGGTAACATCTGTTTTAACTCTGCAACAACTCGAGGGCTGTTCCCTCATCAATACGAAATGCTGTGATGTACCGGACACCCTAACACCCTAGGTCACAAAGGAGGCTGAATGGAAACAAAGGAAGACGGTAACAGCGGAACATCCTGTATCATCATGTGTCAATACGGTGAATTACATCATAACCAATCCTGTTCCCTTACTTGATTCTGTGCAAGTATCAACCAAACATTATTACCCTTAAGATGAATTTGTTGAATTCTGATTGGTCAATAGCAAAAGCATACCAAACCATGTAGGCAGATTTGTCAGGGTGTACGTACCGTACAACCTGTCAAATCTGTCAAGTGACATACTACATGGGTTGTACGAATGACCTTGACCTCAGATGGAATGTGGCTGCCAACCGCTGATCGCCTTGAAATTTTAGGTGAGGTGAGGTGAAATTGGGTTTAATGTCATTCTTGAGAATATTTTGCATGCATGTGTATGTGTATGTGCGGCTGCTTGTACTAGCCCAGACTGAAGCTGGTTTTATAGTGCTAGCCCACTGAGATACAATGCCGCAGTGAAGCATGAATACCCCACTCAGACACATTATACTGACTCCAAGCCGACCAGTCCTTGTTGTACCCATTAATGCCGAGGGCCAAGCAGGGACCAACAAGTACCATATTTTAACGTCTTTTGGTATGACGCGGTTGGGGATCGAACCCGCGACCTTCCACTCTCCAGGCGGACGCTTTAACCACTATACCACGGAGGCGGTCTTTGAAATTTTAGAGTTGTTGGATATAATTATGAGTATAAACAGAGTAATAAAATTGTTGCCATAATTTCTTATTTATTTGTGTCAATAAATATATCCAAAAAATATCATGTTTCTGTATTTCACTTGTCCTTTAAAGAAAACTCAAATTCGATCCCAAGTTATCTCCCTTTATGACCGTTCAGGAAAAATCTTGGCGAAACATTCGGCAGAATGTTATTGTTTAAAGATAAGCTAAATTAAACTATCTTTATGACCGTTCAGGAAAAATCTTGGCGAAACGTTTGGCAGAATGTTGTTGTTTAAAGATAAGCTAAATTAAAAGATCTTACGGGTGATCTTACTGTAAAACCCATGTACATTCCGTATTTCCTTCGGCTGTGCCTCAGGAAATACGGAATTTACAAGGGTCTTACAGTCCTGTACACCCTTTCAAATCACCGTGTAACTAATAGGATTGTTCACCTACCTGATACTGTGCCAGTATCTGCTGTGCATTAGCGTATACCCCCTCTGCTTGTTCCCACAGCGACACACCCAGGTACTCAAGGGGCAAAACTCCCTACAAAGAGTAAAATTTTAATTGCACCAGAATCAACCCTTTACATTACTTAAAGACCCAGGTCAAAAAGTTCCTGCAATAGAGAGGTATGTATCAACGATCTACCATGAATCACCGATGTACCATGTGTCACCTGATGCACATGTATCAACAATCTACCATGTATCACAGATGTACCATGTATGTCATACATCATTATGGAATTACACAAGTTTTCTGAATTGATCATTAAACAAAATTAAAGTCCACTTGCAGATACAAATTGAGTATGCCATAACATGAAGATTCTATGTTTGTTGTGAGACTACCAAATGAAAGCAAACTTTACCACAGAGTTCATGGGAAAGGCAATGCCGATGAGGTACGCCATAAGGGGAGCAACATCAGCCTGAAACAACATCATCAACAGAGGACATCTCCAAGTTGTGTAACTGCTTCTGGTGAATTGAAACATAAGGTTCAGACATCTGAGAGCAGAATCTTAGTTTCTCTATCTAAACGTTATGCGACGTCTGCCAAACTTACTGCTAGACTTCACTGTCCGCTCCTATGACTATTGGTTAGGATTACAGAAGGTCAGGACTATGTCCCTAGGTTTGTCAGACACCTTGCTGTCTGTGGGTGTCAGGCAACCTGCATCAGTCCAGGATGTGATAACACTGACATACTGCTCGAGGTAGATGACTGACCCACTGACTGACCCACTGGCTGACTGGCTGCCTCACTGACTCAGTGACTCCACGATGTAAGAGGACGGACAACACGCAATGTATAGACCAGTATATGTGGTCAGTAAAGGTGTCCCCACTTTCAGGTATCAAGGAAAACAAACAAATCTGGCAGACCAAACCTTCTTTATCGGACTGACTGACTGACTTTGGTTTTACCCGCTTTTTAGCAATATTCCAGCAACATAACGGCGGGGGACACCAGAAATGGGCTTCACACATTGTACCCATATGGGTATTCGAACCCGGGTCTTCGGCGTGACGAGCCAACGCTTTAACCACTAGGCTACCCCACCGCCCCTCTTTGTGAGAGAGCAGTCATCCGTTAAAGAAAGTATTTCCTGTATTCCACATAACATGAGACTGCCATGTTCCCAATGATGTCCACCTACCTGCTGAATATCAAATCTGGTTACAGTGTTCAAGTTCCAGTCTGTAATTAAATATAATTCTTCATTAACCACATGTATATTTTTTAGATGTAATCTACAGGTCTTCATCATAGTCAAGACATAATAATGCTTTATTCTGCTGCTGTATGTAATTTGTACTTTTGCTGATTATAGTGTACAGGACAAAGGAAATCTGAACTATATGAATATTAAATTCATCTGTGAACATACCTGTGCAGAATGTGTCTGGATAGGTTCCACATGTCTCTGCCCTCAGAGGCCTACGTAGCCCAGCCCCCCAAGCCACAATTGGGGTCAGTGTCTCAGAAGGAAGGCCAGCTCCATGAGAACCTGCAATATTTACCAAACTTTCATTTCTGTGTCCACCAAACCTTATTGAATACTTCATTTCTGTTTGGTCTTGACATTAAGGTCAGTAGACATGTTTCCACTTATCCCAGTTTGTCATGACAAGGTCAGTAGACATGTTTCCACCAACCCCAGTCCGTCTTGACAAGGTCAGTAGACATGTTTCAACCTACACCAGTCTGTCATGACAAGGTCAGCAGACATGTTTCCACCTACCCCAGTCCGTCATGACAAGGTCAGTAGACATGTTTCAACCTACCCCAGTCTGTCATGACAAGGTCAGTAGACATGTTTCCACCTAAACCAGTCCATCATGACAAGGTCAGTCGACATGTTTCAACCTACCCCAGTCTGTCATGACAAGATCAGTAGACATGTTTCCACCTACCCCAGTCCGTCATGAGAAAGTCAGTAGACATGTTTCCACCTACCCCAGTCTGTCATGACAAGGTCAGTAGACATGTGTCCACCTACCTCAGTCTGTCATGACAAGGTCAGTAGACATGTTCCAACCTACCCCAGTCTGTCATGACAAGGTCAGTAGACATGTTTCCACCTACACCAGTCTGTCATGACAAGGTCAGTAGACATGTTTCCACCTACCCAGTCCGTCATGACAAGGTCAGTAGACATGTTTCCACCTACTCCCAGTCCGGTCATGACAAGGTCAGTAGACATGTTTCTACTCCTACACCAGTCCGTCATGACAAGGTGGGTAGACATGTTTCAACCTACCCCAGTCCGTCATGACAAGGTCAGTAGACATGTTTTTACGTACCCCAGTCCGTCATGACAAGGTCAGTAGACATATTTCCACCTACCCCAGTCCGTCATGACAAGGTCAGTAGACATGTTTCAACGTATTCCCAGTCCGCCATGACAAGGTCAGTAGACATGTTTCCACCTATTCCAGTCTGTCATGACAAGGTCAGTAGACATGTTTCCACCTACCCCAGTCCGTCATGACAAGGTGGGTAGACATGTTTCCACCTACCCCAGTCCGTCATGACAAGGTCAGTAGACATGTTTCAACCTATTCCAGTCCGTCATGACAAGGTCAGTAGACATGTTTCAACCTACCCCAGTCTGTCATGACAAGGTCAGTAGACATGTTTCCACCTACCCCAGTCCGTCATGACAAGGTCAGTAGACATGTTTCCACCTACACCAGTCCGTCATGACAAGGTGGGTAGACATGTTTCAACCTACCCCAGTCTGTCATGACAAGGTCAGTAGACATGTTTCCACCTATTCCAGTCTGTCATGACAAGGTCAGTAGACATGTTTCAACCTACCCCAGTCCGTCTTGACAAGGTCAGTAGACATGTTTGCACCTACCGCAGTCCGTCATGACAAGGTGGGTAGACATGTTTCAACCTACCCCAGTCCGTCATGACAAGGTCAGTAGACATGTTTTTACGTACCCCAGTCCGTCATGACAAGGTCAGTAGACATGTTTTTTTTACGCCCCAGTCCGTCATGACAAGGTCAGTAGACATATTTCACACCTACTCCCAGTCCGTCATGACAAGGTCAGTAGACATGTTTCAACGCATACCCCAGTCCGTCATGACAAGATCAGTAGACATGTTTCCACCTATTCCAGTCTGTCATGACAAGGTCAGTAGACATGTTTCCACCTACCCCAGTCCGTCATGACAAGGTGGGTAGACATGTTTCCACCTACCCCAGTCCGCCATGACAAGGTCAGTAGACATGTTTCAACCTATTCCAGTCCGTCATGACAAGGTCAGTAGACATGTTTCAACCTACCCCAGTCTGTCATGACAAGGTCAGTAGACATGTTTCCACCTATTCCAGTCTGTCATGACAAGGTCAGTAGACATGTTTCCACCTACCCCAGTCCGTCATGACAAGGTGGGTAGACATGTTTCCACCTACCCCAGTCCGTCATGACAAGGTCAGTAGACATGTTTCAACCTATTCCAGTCCGTCATGACAAGGTCAGTAGACATGTTTCAACCTACTCCCAGTCTGTCATGACAAGGTCAGTAGACATGTTTCCACCTACCCCAGTCCGTCATGACAAGGTCAGTAGACATGTTTCCACCTACACCAGTCCGTCATGACAAGGTGGGTAGACATGTTTCAACCTACCCCAGTCTGTCATGACAAGGTCAGTAGACATGTTTGCACCTATTCCAGTCTGTCATGACAAGGTGAGTAGACATGTTTCAACCTACCCCAGTCCGGCCATGACAAGGTCAGTAGACATGTTTCCACCTATTCCAGTCTGTCATGACAAGGTCAGTAGACATGTTTCAACCTACCCCAGTCCGTCATGACAAGGTCAGTAGACATGTTTCAACCTACCCCAGTCTGTCATGACAAGGTCAGTAGACATGTTTCCACCTAAACCAGTCCATCATGACAAGGTCAGTAGACATGTTTCAACCTACCCCAGTCTGTCATGACAAGATCAGTAGACATGTTTCCACCTACCCCAGTCCGTCATGAGAAAGTCAGTAGACATGTTTCCACCTACCCCAGTCTGTCATGACAAGGTCAGTAGACATGTGTCCACCTACCTCAGTCTGTCATGACAAGGTCAGTAGACATGTTCCAACCTACCCCAGTCTGTCATGACAAGGTCAGTAGACATGTTTCCACCTACCGCAGTCCGTCATGACAAGGTGGGTAGACATGTTTCAACCTACCCCAGTCCGTCATGACAAGGTCAGTAGACATGTTTTACTGCATTCCCAGTCCGTCATGACAAGGTCAGTAGACATGTTTTACGCACTTCAGTCCGTCATGACAAGGTCAGTAGACATATTTCCACCTACCCCAGTCCGTAATGACAAGGTCAGTAGACATGTTTCAACGCACTCCCAGTCCGTCCATGACAAGATCAGTAGACATGTTTCCACCTATTCCAGTCTGTCATGACAAGGTCAGTAGACATGTTTCCACCTACCCCAGTCCGTCATGACAAGGTGGGTAGACATGTTTCCACCTACCCCAGTCCGTCATGACAAGGTCAGTAGACATGTTTCAACCTATTCCAGTCCGGTCATGACAAGGTCAGTAGACATGTTTCAACCTACCCCAGTCTGTCATGACAAGGTCAGTAGACATGTTTCCACCTATTCCAGTCTGTCATGACAAGGTCAGTAGACATGTTTCCACCTACCCCAGTCCGTCATGACAAGGTGGGTAGACATGTTTCCACCTACCCCAGTCCGTCATGACAAGGTCAGTAGACATGTTTCAACCTATTCCAGTCGGTCATGACAAGGTCAGTAGACATGTTTCAACCTACCCCAGTCTGTCATGACAAGGTCAGTAGACATGTTTCCACCTACCCCAGTCCGCCATGACAAGGTCAGTAGACATGTTTCCACCTACACCAGTCCTCACATGACAAGGTGGGTAGACATGTTTCAACCTACCCCAGTCTGTCATGACAAGGTCAGTAGACATGTTTGCACCTATTCCAGTCTGTCATGACAAGGTGAGTAGACATGTTTCAACCTACCCCAGTCCGTCATGACAAGGTCAGTAGACATGTTTCCACCTATTCCAGTCTGTCATGACAAGGTCAGTAGACATGTTTCAACCTACCCCAGTCCGTCATGACAAGGTCAGTAGACATGTTTCCACCTATTCCAGTCTGTCATGACAAGGTCAGTAGACATGTTTCAACCTACTCCCCAGTCTGTCTTTGACAAGGTCAGTAGACATGTTTCCACCTACAGCAGTCCGTCATGACAAGGTGGGTAGACATGTTTCAACCTACCCCAGTCCGTCCATGACAAGGTCAGTAGACATGTTTCAACTGCATCCCAGTCGTCATGACAAGATCAGTAGACATGTTTCCACCTATTCCAGTCTGTCATGACAAGGTCAGTAGACATGTTTCCACCTACCCCAGTCCGTCATGACAAGGTGGGTAGACATGTTTCCACCTACCCCAGTCCGTCATGACAAGGTCAGTAGACATGTTTCAACCTATTCCAGTCCGTCATGACAAGGTCAGTAGACATGTTTCAACCTACCCCAGTCTGTCATGACAAGGTCAGTAGACATGTTTCCACCTACCCCAGTCCGTCATGACAAGGTCAGTAGACATGTTTCCACTCTACACCAGTCCGTCCATGACAAGGTGGGTAGACATGTTTCAACCTACCCCAGTCTGTCATGACAAGGTCAGTAGACATGTTTGCACCTATTCCAGTCTGTCATGACAAGGTGAGTAGACATGTTTCAACCTACCCCAGTCCGTCATGACAAGGTCAGTAGACATGTTTCCACCTATTCCAGTCTGTCATGACAAGGTCAGTAGACATGTTTCAACCTACCCCAGTCCGTCATGACAAGGTCAGTAGACATGTTTCAACCTACCCCAGTCTGTCATGACAAGGTCAGTAGACATGTTTCCACCTAAACCAGTCCATCATGACAAGGTCAGTCGACATGTTTCAACCTACCCCAGTCTGTCATGACAAGATCAGTAGACATGTTTCCACCTACCCCAGTCCGTCATGAGAAAGTCAGTAGACATGTTTCCACCTACCCCAGTCTGTCATGACAAGGTCAGTAGACATGTGTCCACCTACCTCAGTCTGTCATGACAGGGTCAGTAGACATGTTCCAACCTACCCCAGTCTGTCATGACAAGGTCAGTAGACATGTTTCCACCTACACCAGTCTGTCATGACAAGGTCAGTAGACATGTTTCCACCTACCCCAGTCCGTCATGACAAGGTCAGTAGACATGTTTCCACCTACCGCAGTCCGTCATGACAAGGTGGGTAGACATGTTTCAACCTACCCCAGTCCGTCATGACAAGGTCAGTAGACATGTTTTACGCACTCCCAGTCCGGCCATGACAAGGTCAGTAGACATGTTTTTACTGCACTCCCAGTCCGTCATGACAAGGTCAGTAGACATATTTCCACCTACCCCAGTCCGGCCATGACAAGGTCAGTAGACATGTTTCAACGCACTCCCAGTCCGT